GGCACTCATCTTACCTCAGATCTGTTGCCTGATGCTTCAGGACCTTGAGTTGTTTAACCCTTTAAACCCTTTAAAAGATCTCTTTATTTTTACTTTAACATTTTTTGGTGTTCTTTTTAACCAAAATTAGGAAGGTCTGAAGGTGGATATACATTTCAACTGCTGGCAGACATACAAACAATAGGTCCCAAATGATAAGTCCTTTATAATTTGGATCACTTTAGGCTTTAACCTGTTCTTGATCACAGTGGCATCTTATTCTGATAATTATTTCTTGTTTTATTTCTCCTTCATTGGTTTCTTCACCCTCCCTGTAAATTTGCTCAGATATCCCTATCCTGTCAGTAAAAGCCTTTTAACAGAACAGCTTGAACTCTTTTCCTATCTAACTTCTCAGAAGTAGCTGAAGCTGTTCCTCACTACCACTCTAGGAAACCATCCTCTCAAAGGTTATTAGCAACATAATGCCAAGTCCAGTGGCCTTTTTCTCACCTCTTGAGAATGAAGAAAACCAGAATATGTCACCCCAAAATGTGCCTCTTTGACATAAAAATTATATGGAGCTGAAGGCAATTAAGAAGCAGCAAATGTAGGAGAACCTCTCTCTACCCTCCCTTTTCTACCTAGAGGCAGGGTATCAAATCTCTTTTTACTGGAGACAGACTCTTATCATCCCAGAGAAGGCACCAGAGGAATCTGCAAACGAGCCTTACTCCGTTAGTTTGCTCCCATAGATTTTCCTTCCCACGGTTTGCTGCCCTTGGATGCCTACAGCTGCTTTCCTTTGTCCTGTCATTTCTCTACAAATGTGTTGTTCTTTTTTGAAGATCCCATATAAACCACAGTTCTAAGCCACAGCTTTGAGTTATTTTTCTTTGAGGTTTCACTCACCTGTATGATGTACACTGCACATGTTAATAAACCGTTTCTCTCTCTCTCTCTTGTTTTTGGTGAGGAAGATTGGCCCTGAGCTACCATCCATTGCCAGTCCTCTTTTTGCTGAGGAAGATTGGCCCTCAGCTAACACCTGTGCCAATCTTCCTGTATTTTGTATGTGGGACGCTCCCACAGCCTGGCTTGATAAGCAGTTTGTAGGTCTTTGCCTGGGATCCAAACCTGTGAACCCTGGGCCACCAAAGCAGAGCCTGTGAACTACGCCGCCAGGTTGGGCCCTGTTTTTCTCTTTTTAATCTTTTTGTTAAAGAGGCCCAGCTGAAAACCTAAGATGGGGAGAGGTCAAGTTTTGCCCCCTCCACAAGAACTTTATGTTGTTTGACCATCTCTTCAATTTTGAAACTTTTATTTCCCTTTGATTTCAAATGAAAATTGCTCAGAAATCATTTTGCCTATTTCTCTGATTAGTTCTTATGTTTTTTTTTATGGTTCTTTTATTTAGATATTTTCCTAGGGTCTTTGTTATTTTCTTTTTTCTATCTCCCTTGGTGCTTTCGTTTATTGCTATCTTTTAACTATCCCTTCTTTTTTGAAAACATCCACTTCTACCTCCAACTTTTACCTCAATCTTAACCTTTTCCATTAATTTCAAACTTGGCATTTTCAGACAGATCTTCTGGTGTTTCTAACTCAAGCTATTAAGTAAACTGAACTGATTGGCTAAAAATAATGAACCTCGATCCTGAACTTATACCACATATAAAAATTAATTTGTGATGGATCATGAATCTAAATGTAAAAGGTAAACAATAATGTTTCTAGAAGAAAATGTAGGAGAGTATTTTCATGACTTTGAGACTAGCAAAAAAAAATTTTCACAGAACACAAAAAAGTGCTAACTATCAAAGAAAAAGTTGATAAATTGGACTTAGTAAAATTCAGAACCTCTGATCATCAAAAGACTTCATAAGAGGATACTACTCAGCGATAAAAGAAATGAACTATTGACATAGAATGCAGCATGGATGAATCTCAAAATAACTATGCTGAGTAAAAGAAACCAGAGTACATACTGTATGATTTAATTTATATAAAACTCTAGAAAATGCAGATGGGGATCTATAGTGATGGAAAGCATATCAGAGTTTGCTTAGGGATGGGGGATTGAGGAGGGTCTGCAGGGAGGGTTTACAGAGAAACATGAGGAAACTTTTGGAGAGTAATGAGTACGTTCACTATTTTGTGGTGATAGTTTCATAGTTACAAACGTATGTCAAAACTTATCAGATTTTACACTCCCATATATTGTTTATTGTCAGTTAAACCTCAATAAAGCTGTTTTTAATGTGGAAATAAACAGATGGCCCAAATGAGCACAGGTGAAGACCATTTATTCAGAGCTTGTCATAGCAGGGGAGTCAGCCACCGTCACTTGCGTTTCCCAGAGGCTCAAAGGCAGGAAGACCAGTGGGAAGCTTTTTAGGGGGGCAAAAACGGGAGGCTTCAAGTGTGTCCTGGTGGGGGGCTATTGGCATGGGGAAGCTGTAGGCAGCCTAACTACACGTGAGGCATCCTGTGTGATTGGTTAGGGGTACGTATTTGACTTCCTCTGAGTGGTCCTCACTTGGAAGCAGGGACAAAAATTAGGGAAGCTGTCAAATATTAATCAAGTCCTGGCTGTTTGGGGCCAATTTTTATAGGGGTTATTGTTTGGCTTCCTGGACTAATTGCTAGAGATAGTCTGACTTCCTTGACTGGTTACTTTAGATATTAGCTTGGCTTCTTGGGCTAGTTAATGGAGATATTAGGTCAGCTTCCTGGGCTTGTTTCTGCAGGTTGTGGGTCAGAGCTCCATTTTTATATGTGTAGTCTGCCCAATGTCCGTTAGTGTATTCAGACTCATGAAAAGAAACAGATTCCATAAGAAAGGCAAGCGACAAACTGGGAGAAGATACTTGCAGCGCATATCCAACAAAGTACTTATATCCACTATATATTTTTTTAAAAGTCCTACAATTCAGTAACAAAAAGACAACCTAATTTTTTAAATGGGCTAAAGACTTGAACTAGCACTTCAGGAGAGAGGATATCCAAATGGCTAATAGACATATGAAAGGGTGCTAGTAGGGGAAATGCAGACGTCATTTAATCGCTAATTTAACCATTAATGATTTAATGCAGATTAAATGAGATACTACCACACTCCTACCAGGATGGCTAAGAGTAAAGAGTTAGCAGTACCAAGTGGTGGTATAAATGTGGAGCAACTGGAACTCTCATACACTGCTAGTGGGAGTGTAAATTGGTTCAGATTCTGGAAAACTGTTTGGCAGTGTCTGTTAAAGCTAAATATACGTATACTCTGTTACCCAACATTAACACTCTGGGCTTTACATCTGATAGCAGTGAGTGTTGATGTCCACCAAAAGACTCGTACAAGACTATAATAGCTAAAAACAGGGAACAACCAAATGTTTATCAACAGTAGAATTTATAAATAGATCATGATATATTCATAAAATGGAGTGTTACATAGGAATGAAAAAGAATAAACTACCACATGGCAGTGTTATAAGTGAATCTTCCAGACATAACGTTGAATAAAGGAAGCTACATGCAAAAGAGTTAATACTGTTTGATTCTATTTATAAAAAATTCAAACAGACAAAACTAATCTACGGTGATAGAGGTCAGAATAATGGTTACCTTTTGGTGGGTTTATTGACTGAGGGGACACAAAGGAGCCTTCTGGATTATTGGAAGTGTTCTATAACTTGATCTGGGTTGTAGTTGTATGGGTTAGTAAACATATAAATATTTATTGACCTCTATCTCAAGATCTGTGCATTTTACTACATGTAAGTTATACCTCAATAAAGAACAGTGGGTTGTTTTTTTTTTTTAACTTGTACAGTCATGTGCCATATAATGATGTTTTGGTTAACAGTGGACCACGTATACAATGGTGGCCCCATAAGATTAGTACCGTGTAGCCTAGGTGTATAGTAGGCTATACCATCTTGGTTTGTGTAAGTACACTCTGATGTTCGCACAATGAGAAAACCACCTCATGACACATTTCTCAGAACATATCCCCGTCGTTAAGCGATGCATGCCTGTACTAGAGCTTTAGCCTTGACCCCAAGCCCGAATTATTGCCAAGGACCTAATTGGTTTCCCTACTTTTCATACTCAAAACTATTCTACAGCATGCCAGCAAAGCTGTCTTTCTAAAGCACCATTCGGATGATACCAGAACTGTGATTGTGTTACTTCTTCTCCTCAAAAGCCTTGAGGGTGCTCCCATTGCTGGAGTACTAGATGCAGATCAGGCTCTGGCATTGCATTCAAGACTCTCGTGGTCTGGCCCCAACTAGCCATACTGCTTCCCCTAGCCATACTACTTCCCCATCCATACACAATCCTTTAGAAAACTGGAATACTTAATAGTTCCAAACCCATTTTGTTCTCTATTGGTTATACCTCTTTGTTCATACTCTTCTCTCTAAATGCTTTCTTCCTCATACCAGCCCCATCTCAAACCATTTCCACCTTGGGGGGATTGTTATGACATGCCTCATGAAATCCATGAATGCTCTGAAATTATCTCCAAATTTTTCTGTGTACATTTTTCTGGAGAAAGCGCTTGTCTTGACATCAGATTCTCAAAAAGGATCCATAAACCCCCAAAAGTTAAGTTGATTTAGTGGCCTTTTAAAGGAATGTGAATTAACCCATTCTATGTTTTAACAAAGTTTTTGTCTCATTAAAAGTTAGTTCTCAATGTACTGGGTCATAAAACATTTTTTAAGTAGACATCTTATATTTAAAGCTCAGAGTTTCAGATTCAGTCAGAATGTCTTGTCCTCATCTATTTTTTAGGTCTCTAGATTTAGCTCTTTGTGTGGAATTTTTTTTCCTTAAAAGATAGTATCTAAATATTTTTCAGGTTGGTATCTTTAGTTAGGGGAAAAATTATTTTCCCCTCCCGCATGACTATTTGTACAGCTAAGGGACAATACCATCTCTGTATGCTTTGATGTAGCAATCTGTTTTAAAAGATATTAGTCACATTTTTCAACACTTTTTTTGTTTGTTTGTTTTAGATACCTATAGGCAATGGAAACTGATCTCAATTCCCAGGACAGAAAGGACCTGGACAAGTTCATTAAATTTTTTGCCCTCAAGGTAACCTGTCTATTCTCTTGAGCCTAGAACTGTTAGAAATAACTTCCGTGCGTCTCTCTTTTTGGAAATACAGCATAACAGCTTGCAGCTTGCCCATTTTAAGGGATACTTCTGTCTGTTGTAAACCAAACTGTGAAGTTCGGGGGCGGTACTGGGGGTGTAACTAAAAAGTAGCTTCCAATTTTCCACAGCTACTTGTTCAAAAAGAATTTTTTTTGCAAGGCTGTTGGCAGAAATGTCAAACAGTTATGCCAGGATATTGGCACAGTATGTTCCCTTGGGGTGGGAACAAAGACGCTGGACTGGAACGGACAGCATTTTGGGCGTCTTTCCCTAAGCATCAACCAGCTCCGAAATGTCTGACTTTTCATTTATTGTTCCCTTCTGGCTAAATGAGGAATTAAAACTGAATTTCGAATGCTTTAAAAGTTATGTTTTCCTAAATCTAAAAGTCATTTCTACCTCTATCACTCCTTCGTTTCAACTATTGCCATGTAAGAATAATCCGTGCAGTAGATTCTGGTTGTAAAATTAGTTGGAAGACTTTTACCATATGGGCCAAATGATATGAATAATTGTGGAATCCTTGGTTTAAATCTACTATGATTATATAAGTGTATGGCAGTGAATATTTAAACCTACAGTTGGACTTGTTTCTTTATGAAAGTCAAAGCTACCACGTGCAACTTTCCTTCTGCCATGTGAGAATATTACAGAGTCCAAGCCTCAAACTATAATTCCTCATATGGTTGACGCTTTGCCCTCAGGGATAGTTACAGTATTATTTTTGTGTAGTGTTTTTTCTATCTGTTCTTAAACATTTTAAATTCTACCCTTTCCTGAAGTATAGTTATGATCATTGGCATCTTTTTAACCTTGCATTGGGAGGGTTTTAACCCTGATCAGGAGCCAAATCAGTTGAATAAGGCTTTTCATCTTTGATTTTTTGTTTGTTTGCTTTTTGTAGACTGTCCAAGTGATTGTCCAGGCTCGACTTGGCGAGAAGATTTGTACTCGTTCCTCTTCATCCCCAACGGGTTCAGATTGGGTAAAATTCCTACTCTTTGCTAAGGGCTATACTGTAGTGTTTGTCACAAAGAATCACAGTGCAGTAATAAGGAATACTATTTATAGTATTACTAAATCATGACATTAAAATATCTAATTCCATTTGATCCATTCACTTGGAAAGTATGTTCTTCATCGAATGTTAGTTCTGTATTTATTTGGTTCTTGACTTTCTGCTGTGATAGGCGAAAAGCTTAGTCTTTACAAGACAAAAATATCTTGTTAACTAGTCTTTGTAATAGGTCATTAGCTTTTTCATCCTGAGTTTTGGGGCTTTGATGCAGGGTGTCTCTTATGTGGATGGGAGAAGTGAAGGAATGTCCGTAATCAGTCAGATCAGTGCCTGCGTTACCCAACATACAGTCTTACTATTTATGTTTCCATAATGTTCCCTGTGGTTGTTTCACACAAAGTCCCTTTTGTTTTCTAGTTCAATTTGGCAATCAAAGACATCCCAGAGGTTACACATGAAGCAAAGAAGGCGCTGGCAGGGCAGCTGCCTGCCGTGGGGAGATCTATGTGTGTGGAGATCTCCCTTAAGACTTCTGAGGTAAGGTTGTGGCCAGGATGGTGTCTTAACTTGGCACTCAAAGGTCTTCACACTCTCGTTCCCACTCATCCTTATTCCTGCCCCTTCCCTTCCTGAGCTTATCATTCTCTAAAGAGGTCGTGGTTTTTGTACTTACTACAACCACTTGGAATATGCTCTTTGCCCTCATATGCTCTTCTCCCTCATCTTCATGTATATTAATCTATATGTGATATGTTCCTACTCTTCCTTCAAGACTCATGTGCCCTAGAAAATCTCCCCTTTCTAGTGGGAGAGGTGACGACTCTCTTTAGCATTCCCATGTGCTTTGTTTATGTTTGTTTCTAGAGTATAACTTGCTGTATTGTGTTTTTTTGTGTATGTGTGAGGAAGATCGGCCCTGAGCTAACATCTGCCAATCCTCCTCTTTTTGCTGAGGAAGATTGGCCCTGGGCTAACATCCACGCCCATCTTCCTCCATTTTATATGGGACGCCGCCACAGCATAGCATGACAAGCCGTGCGTCAGCGCGCGCCCGGGATCTGAACCGGCGAACCTCAGGCCGCTGCAGTGGAGCGCGCACACTTAACTGCTTTCGCCACCAGGCCGGCCCCAGTTGTATTGTGGTTTCATTTAAATGTCTTTTTGTTCACTTTATTCCACGTTAGGATTAAGGCAGATATTGTTACTTGTATGTTTATTAATCTGTTTCCACTACAAGATTATGAGGCTGCACGCTGTAATAAAAGGCAGACAGAGCTTGGAGCTATGCAGACCAAGTTCAGAACCCGGCTGAGTGACTTTGGCCACATTACTTAACCCCACCCCCACCAACACCACCAAACTAACACAACGTTTCACAGGACTATAACCTTTTCTTATTTAATCCTTATTTGTAAAGTACCTCACATAACATATAGTAGGTGATCACCATGTGTTCCTTTTCATACTTTACACTTTTGTTCTTGAAGTCAGCAGCTGTGCCTCATCTTACTTATCTTTGTAGTTCTTCAAATTCTTTTTGAAATGGAGCAGGATATACATAATCATCTCTGTGCCTAGCACAGTGCCTGGGATGGCACATAGTAGGCTCTCAATGACTTTTGTTGAATGAATGATGTCAATACTTACTCCATGGAAACCTTAGCACCAAATAAAGCAAAACTTCCTATTCTTCTTTATTGACTCACTAGTTTATACGGTGAATTATTTTCCTTAGTGTTCCATAGGGAGTCCAAAAGGAATCCCTAGAAGAACTCTTTCTTCTCCCAAGCGTCTGTGAAATCTGACTATAAACTGTCGTGATTGTCCTAGAGAAGCCACACCAGCTTGTCTCGGATGCTTCCTACTATCCAGTCATGTCTTGATTTTTGGGGGGGAAATTAAAAATTCATCATGTCATTTAAAAGTGAGAGTATGATGAGAAGGATGTATTAAGGATACATATTTAAGTTTGATCTAGAACAAGTAACATTTAGTTCTCTGTTCCACAGACTGACCTAAGCTTACTCCCGGGCCTAAAAGAATAGCCCTCTTCCAACTGATTAGTAAAAGGTTACTTGTGCTCAAAAGTATGTGACTGTCCTTCTCACTAAGTGACACAAAAGAGTGTTACAGGGTTGAGGGATTCTCGCTTTAATCTTTTTTTCTTCTTTCCCACCCACTAGGCTAGGTCTGTTCAGAGTAACACATAAAGAGACTGAACAGTTTGGCTAAAGACATCAGACAGCTAAAAAGATTTTTAAGTAAGGAGCTTATGAAGGTATTCTTTAACTGTGGGTGTCGCCTAAAAATATACCCTACAGAATTGGAGGGAAAGGCTCTCTTCGTCACTTGAAGTGTTGGCCTTTCTGAAGAGCAATTTGGATATTCATCGTAAAAGTCTTAGAAGCATGAATACCCTTTGATCTAACAATTCTAATTCTGTTGCCTTAAGAAATTAATTCAGGGTGTGTACAGGGTTTTAGTCTCAAGGCTATTTATCACAATGTTGTTTGTAGTAGTGAAAAATTAGAAACAACCTATATGTCCAAGTATGGGGGGCGCTGATTGGACAAAATGATAGCCACGTGGTGGCATACTATGCAACCATTAAAAATAATGTAGAATTTTTTGCCAGCCCCGGTGGGCTAGTGGTTAAGTTTGGCATCCTCTGCTTCAGCGGCCCAGGTTTGGTTCCCGGGTGCGGACCTGCACCACTCATCTATCAGTGGCCATGCTGTGACAGAAGCTCACTACAAAATAGGGGAAGATGGGCAACAGTTGTTAGCTCAGGGTGAATCTTCCTCAGCAAAAAAAAAATAATAATAATAATAAATTAAAATCATGTAGAATTTTTAATTATAAGGAAAATTCCATGTTGTATTTATTAATAGAAAAGTAAGTGATAAAAATAGTATATATAGTTTGACCTCACTTTTATTTAGAAAAGTGGCTGATTGGATTATAAATTGATAATCTTTTTTCTTTTTGCTTATTTATACTTTCCAGTATTTTTATAGTGACTATATAGTGCTTTGTAATAAGAAAAAAGATGGTCCTTAAAAAAAAACAAAACTGAAATATCTTTCAATTGTTCCATCTACAGGGAGATTCCATGGAGCTAGAAATTTGGTGTCTTGAAATGAATGAAAAGTAAGTCCTCTGTGTTAGGATCCTTGGTTGTGGTGGCTGAGGATAAAGCAGATGACATCATATGAAAAGCAGGGCTTTGTTATCATTCATGGAGGGTGTTCTGACCACTTAACAAAGCCAGTAGGTCTTTGCTACAATTTGCTTCGTGCTTGGCTGCCAGCCCAGGCACAGAGATGACCTTCAGAGGGAGAGTCACTCCAGAGAGACTCAGACACCGCAGGGAAAGGAGCAGAGAGAAAGCTGAAAAGGATTTGTTGTTTTCCCAGAGTACAGATAGTTCTCTGATGAAATCCCTTGTGAGCTCTTATAACATGACTACTCTGTTTTGTCTGTTTCCTGTGAGGCAGACATCCAATAATATTTCCCCTTGCTACTCCTTTTTACACACTGTGTTGGTCATGGATTGGAAATGCATGTTATTTCCCTCCTCCATTTTCTTCTTTCAAGGCAGATTAGCTTACTTCCTGCCTGAAGCTTCAGTTTTCAAGAAGAGTATATAGAAAATTGAGGAAATAGCAACACATCAAAAGAAAAATCTTTGTAATAAGTGTGTGTGGTGTGGGTGTTATTTTTCTTTTTTAAGTAGAAAGCAGTTGCCAGGTTATAGTCCAGTATTTTAGTACCAAGCAGACTTTTCTGCAGATTTCTTGTTAGAGAGGTAGACAGCTCATAAGATAGTACATTGAAATTGTGTTTGCACCTTCAGTAATATAATTGCAATATTGAATTACTGTTTTTAAGTGTGTTGCTTTATTTCTTACAAAGATAACTGGTTCAAAGCTAGAAAAAGATTTACTGGGTGCCTTTTGGTGCCCTTCTGCCTGTGTCTAGTGCCTGAGAAAGTGAAACTTTGACTTACCTCAACAATCTGTTGATAAACTGACAAAGAACTCTAATTACACCTTTAGTTCAGAACATGTTTTAATAATAAATTTAATCTTATACGGCTGCTTAATTTGCAGCCATCTCTGTTGACTGTAATATTCTGTGAATGGTGTATTTGGACTGCAAACCAGATTTTATTCTATCAGAATTTATGAATAATGCTAACAAATTAGTCTCAGTCACTAGATGGAACATAACTAATATCTCCATATCCATTGCATTTCTATTCTTTGTTTTCTGTTAGTCAAATAGGAGAATGCTGATAGTGTCTGTGTGCTCCTCAGGTGTGATAAAGAAATCAAAGTTTCCTACACGGTGTACAACAGACTGTCGTTGCTGCTGAAGTCTCTCCTTGCTATCACTAGAGTGACACCAGCTTACAGACTCTCCAGAAAACAAGGGCATGAATATGTCATATTGTACAGGTAAACAGCATAGCTGCTCACCTTTGTGATTCACTCCTCAGCCTCATCACTCTGCACATTGTCTAACCAGCATTCAGGTATTCTGTGATTAATTTTTGGACAGATGGTTGATTGGCTAGTTGGTGCTATAGCTGACTATGATTGTCTGTCCATCCTCCCTTATGAACCTCAGCTTTCCAAAGCTACCAAGTTGTTGTTCTTTTGTCTGTGCACAGCCATGATTCCTGTGGGATGGATTTTGAGGTCCTACTGATATACATCTCAAAGCTGGAAAAGGAGCTTAAGACTTTAAAAAACAGGCTATCCTAGCAAACTGCTAATTCAGTTTGTTTTTAATTAGTTGTCTGGGGACAGTTGTCTGGTCAACAGTTCTTTGAGTATTTTCCTTGGAGTATTTCACCTCAACATGTTATTTATTGAGTGCCTTTTTAATGCAAGCATTATGCTAGGGCCAAGGAAGAACTATACAGAGGCCCTGCCCTACAGATGTTTCTAATCTAATGGAGGAAACAGTTTGGTACATACATAATTATAATAAAAAGCAGGATTTGAAAACTGCATAGCAGTATCAGGAAAAACGTACTGAGAGAACACAGGAAGGGAAAATTTGTTCTGGTTGGGAGAAACAAGACAGGCTTCATGGAGAAAGTGGCATGCAAGCTAGAACTTGAGGCTGAGAGAATTTCAGCTGGTAGAAGTGAAGGAGAATGATCCTTTCAGGTGGGGAATACAACAGATGGCAAGACACAGAAGTGGGAGGCGGGGTATGAGCTGTACTCAAATTGTCAAATGGACCAGAGTGGTGGTGTAGAGGATGTGTCAGAAAGTGTGAGAGCAGGGCCAGCCCCGTGGCTTAGCGGTTAAGTGCGCGCACTCCGCTACTGGCGGCCCGGGTTTCGGATCCCGGGCGCACACCGATGCACAGCTTCCCCGGCCATGCTGAGGCCGCGTCCCACATACAGCAACCAGAAGGATGTGCAACTATGACATACGACTGTCTACTGGGGCTTTGGGGGAAAAAAAAGGAGGAGGATTGGCAATAGATGTTAGCTCAGAGCTGGTCTTCCTCAGCAAAAAGAGGAGGATTAGCACGGATGTTAGCTCAGGGCTGATCTTCCTCACAAAAAAAAAAAAAAGAAAGAAAGAAAGTGTGAGAGCAGAGCATGGAAAGCCAGCAGTTCCCAAATCATCCAAGACTCTCTTCTTTCATAGTAGTGACGAGCCATTGGTTTTAGCCTTAGATTTACATATATAGAGCTGATTTTGAGAAGAATTAGTGTAGCAGGATGGAAGGATTAAGGATTAGAGACTTAACTAGTTCTGTGGAAACAATCTAGTGCCAGAGAATAGTTATCAAGTCATTCTTTAACTTTTTTAGCAATAATCTAGCAACCCTACCCAGGTTTATTTTTCTAAGTCTTTAATACATTTTTGTTATCTTCTCTATAGTGTTCCCAGGTTTCAAGTTGAGTATTCCATTTGAAAATTACTGGACTTTTATTGAGATGTAACAGAAAGATTACTTTTTTTTTTTTGAGGAAGATTGGCCCCATGCTAACATGTGTTGCCAATCTTCCTCTTTTTCTTTTTTTCTCCCCAAAGCCCCAGTACATAGTTGTATATCATAGTTGTAGAGTTGTAGCTCTTCTATGTGTGGGATGCCGCCTCAGCCCGGCTGGATGAGCAGTGAGTAGGTCTGCACCCAGGATCCAAACTGGCGAACCCCGGGCCGCTGAAGCAGAACACATGAACTTAGCCGCTATGCCACCGGGCTGGCCCCAGAAAGATTACTTTCTCTTACCTCTCATTTACCTATGCAAGTCCCCTTAACTTTGGTTCTTTTAAAGATTTTATTTATTTATTTTTCCCCCCAAAGCCCCAGTAGATAGTTGTATGTCATAGCTGCACATCCTTCTAGTTGCTGTATGTGGGACACGGCCTCAGCATGGCCAGAGAAGCGGCGCGTCAGTGTGCGCCCGGGATCCGAACCCGGGCTGCCAGCAGCGGAGCGCGCGCACTTAACCGTTAAGCCATGGGGCCGGCCCTACTTTGGTTCTTTTATAAGTAGCCATACTCCACTGCTGGTCATCAGCTTAGTTAACTAGGACTCCTAGTGTTTTTCATACCAGTGTTTAAAGTCTTTCTTTATCCTGTATCTCTGGAGTAACATAGTGTTTATTGCTCACTGTTTGTTTGTCATTTAGGAGTGCTTTTGGATGCAAATAATTTAGGTTTAAACTATAGAGAAGTGGGTGATCTCAGAGGTAGATTTGGCCCTTTTTTTTTCTTTTATACTGTTGTTAACAGGTTAATAGTATAGCCTTATCTCATTAAAGAATAGCCTTGTCTTTTTTTTTTTTTTTTAAGCTGTATTATCATTTTTTCCCTGGCCCTGTAGACTTCATCATGTCATTGTAGAATAACGTAGTTATAAAAACTGATTCTGCATTTGTTGTTCATCAAGACTGAATTAAAGTTTTATCGTCTACTATCTGTGAAGAAAACTTTGGCTTAGCGCCTTAATGGCATAAAGAGTATAGCCAAGGGCCGGCCCCGTGGCTTAGTGGTTGAGTGCGCGTGCTCTGCTGCTGGCGGCCCAGGTTTGGATCCCGGGCGTGCACCGACGCACTGCTTCTCCAGCCACGCTGGGGCCGCATCCCACATACAGCAACTAGATGGATGTGCAGCTATGACATACAACTATCTACTGGGGCTTTGGGGGGAAAAAATAAATAAATAAAATCTTAAAACCCTGAAAAAAAAAAAAGAGTATAGCCAAGAAACAGTTTAGTATAATTAGCTTGTTTTAAGCACTGTACCAATATACAAATGAGTAGTGAGCTGATTAAGTATCAGCTTTTTATTAGAGGGTACCTGGCAAAATCTCTTTTGGCAACACTTTATTACCATCATTCCTGTATTACTTTAAGGCAGGAGTCAGCAAACTATGGCCAGCAGACCATCTGCTTATTTTTATAAATAAAGTTATTTTAGAACACAGCCACACCATTTGTTTACGTATCATCAGTGGCTACTTTTGCAGCACAGCAGCAAAGCTGACTTGTTGCCACAGACTATATGGCCTCTGAGCCTGAAATATTTACTATCTGATCCTTTTAACAAAAGTTTGCTGAGCCCTGCTTTAGGGTGTCTCTCACTTTTGTGCATGTATTTCAGATATTTATATACATGTCTTTTCTCCCATACCAGACTATAACCTCTGAGATCTAGGATTTAGATTTATCCTGAATCTCATCCCTGTCTTATCCTTATCTCATCCCTAACACCTAGCCACAGGGCCTTGTACGTTGTTAGAGCTTAGTTTTTATTGAACAAACCCATGTATGTGTTTAATTTTTAACAATATTGCTTGAAAAATATAAAAATACATTTTAAGTGTTTTGTAATTCAGAATTCTAGCTATTATAGACTGGCTTTCCCAGGGAGATTTGTGGAAAAGTTCTGCTGTTTATATTTTTATATTTTCAGAATAGTTGTACCTAATTATTCTATGGTAGAAAAGATTTTCTAATTTTCTTGACCACTTTACTTTGGAATGACTTGAGATAATCACAGAGAGCTCCCTTTAATTGAGGACCACTCTTCAAAATCTTGTACCTTGTGTTGCATATTTGAAAGTTGCTGAGGGAGTAGATCTTTTTCGTGTGTGTATGCGAGGAAGATTAGCCCTGAGATAACATCTGCTGCCAGTCCGCCTCTTTGTTGAGGGAGATTGGCCCTGAGCTAACATCCGTGCCCATCTTCCTCTACTTTATGTGGAACGCCTGCCACAGCATGGCTTGATAAGTGGTACATAGGTCCGCGCCTGGGATCCAAACCTGCAAACCCCTGGGCTGCCTAAGCAGAGCATGTGAACTTAGCCACTACACCACTGGCTCTACCCCAGAGAGTAGATCTTAAAAGTTCTCATCACGAGAAAAAAAATTCTATAACTGTGTATGGTTATGGATGTCAACTAGACTTATTGTGGTGATCATTTTGCAATATATGCAAATATCAAATCATTATGTTGTACACCGGAAACTAATATAATGTATGTCAATTATACCACAATAAAAAAAATATCGAGTACCTTGTAGTAGTAGTCCCAGATCTCTTTGCCAATTTTATTTATATATTCTTTATTTCCCAGTGGGTATACTTTAAAAACACATTGCAGGAATGGGAAGAAGAGACTTAAATAGCAGTTTCTACTTAATTATTATTTTCCTCATTTCTTAACCAATCCTCTCCATATACCTCCCCAAGCCTGCAGCTTAATTGAAGGGGTAGCATTATCATTACCTTAGAGGAGACGTTCATGCAGATAAGAAAAGAAGCATTTGTTTTGTTTATTTTGTTTCTAGAGAGTTTGGCTGTGGAGGCTCTTAGAATAAAGAATCAGGTAACATTTCTTTTTCTTTCTTCCCTACAGGATATATTTTGGGGAAGTTCAGCTGAATGGCTTAGGAGAAGGTATGTATTAAGGTTGAAAACATTTGTAGTGTTAAGAGTGCTCCTGACTTCGGAGATGGGCTTGGATGCTGCCTGTAATAATACGTAGCTTGTGATTTTAATATGTATGATACAGAGTAAGGGAAAGACAGGTAGGTGGTCCAAAGAGCTGCCAGGGAATGACTGAATAATTTTCCCAAAAGTCCCAGTAACTCAGTATTCTTTTTTACTGTTTATACATTTGTCTGTTTTCCTAATTTTCTACAATGAGCATGTTAAATGTTTTTAATGAGCATCAACAATTTTGAAAACTTGGAAATGAAACCAAGAAAACCAGGAAAGCTTTGTTGGAAGTATCACCTGCAAGGCCCTGGCTCTTCTATACTTAGTTCTGGAGTGGCAGCTTGGGTGGGAGTGCAGTTACTTCATAAATTGAGGTGTTCGTGTGATCAACTCTTTGTGCCCTTTTACTGTCTCATTGGGCATGTGACACATCTGGGCAGCGTTGGTTAGGACTTGCTCAAGCTTTAGGACTAATAATTGTTTTACCTCTTTGAAGGTAATTTTAACTGGAAATAGAATGCTGTTTCTTTTGCCAGTATTAGCTCAAGAATAAATTGAAAGAAAAAAATATATATATACATACATACATAGACACATATATATGAAATTGAGGCTTCTGTACTCAAGGTGCTAAGTGGGTGTCAGAAATTGTACAATAGGCTGAATGATTCAGGAAAAGACAGACTGGGGGCAGTGCCAGTATTCTCTGGGAAAGAGCTGTTTATTTGTCTTTTCTCCTAGGTTTCCAGACAGTTCGTGTTGGGACAGTGGGCACCCCAGTGGGCACCATCACTCTTTCTTGTGCTTACAGAATTAACTTGGCATTCATGTCCACCAGGTGAGGAAAGAACCTTGGAATCCAAAAGAACTCTTCCAAAGACATTGAAGGATTTTTTTCCAAAACTCTGTGGCTAAGCCTACAGTTCAGCTTTGCCATTGCTGAAATCAGTCCCCTTCTGAAGAATGAAATCAAGAGAGAGACCAGTTTCCAGATTGGAGAATCTGAATGTCCCAGAGCCAACAGTGTAGAGTTGGTTGTTTATATTTAGGGATGCAATTGTTAAGGCTCTACTGGTTCCTGTCAATAGATAGAAGGTGAGGGGCCCTCTGAGGACTTCAGAGGTGCTAGAAAGGCATTCTAACAAATACTATCATCTGCTTATTGCATTACAGGCAATTTGAGAGGACCCCACCTATCATGGGGATTATCATTGATCACTTTGTGGACCGTCCCTATCCCAGCTCCTCGCCCATGCACCCCTGCAATTACAGGTGAGGAATGTGAAAGGCATTTCCCCCAACTGCAGCTTGGCAGAAGCATCCATCTTGCACAGGTACATAGGGCACTTTTATCAGCACTCACCGACGGGCAGGGGGCACTGATGGAGACCCCACATGGAGAGAAATAGAGCGGCTAGCTTCCCTTCTTGCTGCTGCCTGTAAGGTACACCAAGACTTGAGGTATACAGAATATGTCAGGAAATTATTGGACGTTTCGGATCTTGATGGTAGTGATTTGACTTTTGATTTGATTTTACTTAGAGACTACAAGAATGGCAGTAATTTGTGGAATGTCCTTCACAAATTAATGGTTTTCAGGTCACCGTTGGCACAATTCAGTTATACATCAGAATCAAATATCACCAGGCCTAGATCCCAGAAAACAGAATTCTCCAGAGGCTGGAATAGATGTGTATCAGGGATACTACCTTTATGTGAAGGACTTGTAAAGTTGGATAGCTTTGTCTTTGGAGTCTAGACTTTTTTTTCACCGCGTCTCTATTGCTGACAATTCTTTGGCCCCGACACTGGCCAGGCTTAAGAAAATGCTCTCAAATGATATGTCAGGTAAGATGTTTGGGTTTAAAAAAAAAAGAAAGCCATTGTTAGCCTCTAAATGCTGCTCTCTCTCTCTTGCCGTTATGAACTCTGTCTGAATTCTTGTCACAACTTTCATCCTTATCGCACGTTCCTTTGTATCCTTTCGGAAATTGAATGCTATACCATAACATTCATGATTTCTTTTCTCCTCACTGTAGAACCGCTGGTGAGGACACTGGAGTAACATATCCTTCTGTGGAAGATTCTCAAGAAGTGTGTACCACTTCTTTTTCCACCTCCCCTCCATCCCAGGTAGGGAAGACAGCTTGATACAGTCTTGTTTGGTGGTGGTGGTAATTGTTTCGAGGGGGTTATTGTGAGGGATGAGGAGAGCCTTCTTATCCAGCAAGTGATAATGCAACATTCTAGTTGTAACTATTCTTAACCCACAAGATTTTATGTAACCTTTACCTTCCTAGGGACATCTTAAATTCCCTAGAAAATCAGTGACAGAATTCCAGATGCATTCCTTTTTTTCCCCTCCCCAAAGCCCCAAGCATGATTGTATATCCTAGTTGTAAATCCTTGTAGTTCTTATATGTGAGCCACTGCCACAGCATGGCAACTGACAGATGGGTGTGGTTCTGCAACTGGGAGATGATCCCCAGCTGCTGAAGCGGTAACCACTAGGCCATCAGTGCTGGCTCCCAGATGCATTCTGATACCAGAGAGGTACTCTACCCTACACTTGTTAATTTGGTAGCTACTTCTCTTTTGAAGTGGTAAATATGGTTCCTAAAAATGGAAGGAACGTAAAAGGAGCCAATAATGATTTAGCATAAAGTGCCAGTAAGAAACCAGCAGTGCAGTTTTTCTTAATAGTTGACACAGATTTCTGCCCATTGCATTCTCTATCTGAACATTTTTAACCATTAGCTTTTCCGCTTGAGTCCATCTTCAGTGTCAAACCCAGTTGTAATAACACATAGACTCCAAACAATGTTCTTGGCTTCCCAGGAAGAAGTGCCTGTATGGCCTTGTTGTATAATGCACATGGTACTGAGACTACTTCAGCTAAGGAGTCATTTTTGCCAGCTGACTGAACTTCAGAGCACATTTCTTCCCTCCACCCTAAGTCGTTCACCTTCTACCTCATTGCCTGCAGATCCCTGCTCTACCTGCCCATCATCTCTATTATTCCCCTCCTCATTGACTTTCACATTAGTTTCATCTGGACCTAACTCAGTTCTACTTTCTTTCTTTTTTTTTTTTTTGTGAGGAAGATCAGCCCTGAGCTAACATCCATGCTAATCCTCCTCTTTTTGCTGAGGAAGACCAGCTCTGAGCTAACATCTATTGCCAATCCTCCTCCCTTTTTTTCCCCCCACAAAGCCCCAGCAGATAGTTGTATGTCATAGTTGCACATCCTTCCAGTTGCTGTATGTGGGACGCGGCCTCAGCATGGCCGGAGAAGCGGTGTGTCGGTGCGCGCCCGGGATCCGAACCCGGGCCGCCAGTAGCGGAGCATGCGCACTTAACCGCTAAGCCACGGGGCCGGCCCAGTTCTACTTTCTTTTAAACTAGCCCCAGATTATCCCTTTTTGCCATCTTATTTTGGGAACCCAGCAGATTAACTGGCTATCCATAAGTTTTTATTTTTTGTTTTCTTAATTAAGAAGAAATTTTTTTTTTTTGTGAGAGTGATCAGCCCTGAGCTAACATCTGATGCCAATCCTCCTCTTTTTGCTGATGAATATTGGCCCTGGGCTAACATCTGTGCCCATCTTCCTCTACTTTATATGGGACGCCGCCACAGCATGGCTTGACAAGTGGTGCGTTGGTGCGCGCCCGGGATCTGAACCTGCAAACCCTGGGCCGCCAAAGCGAAGTGCGCGCACTTAACTGCTGTGCCGCCAGGCTGGCCCCTTAAGAAGCAATTTAAATTTATTCCATCCTGTGTTGATAGGAAATAATGGATTAAAATTATGGTTCTAATCTGTTTGAAAAGCATAAATTAGGCGCAAAAGCTAACCTAATGTGTGTGAAGGATGTTACAAAATCCGGATCACTATTATTTCTATTGTCCCAATTTAGAGTTAAAGAGGTTTTTGTTGTAAAGTTACCTAGATGGTTTGGTTTGGTGGTGTGAGAATTGTTATTCTCCTCCCCCCATTAATATATGTAGGCCTGAGTGTCGCCATTGCTCTGGGAGGGGGTAGCTTCTGGTATACTTACTGACACAGAGTAATACCAAAAATGGGAAGCCCTCTTTCTGTTGTTAGTGCTGTTGAGTCGATTCCGACTCCTAGTGACCCTGTGCACAGCAGAGCAGAACCCTGCCCGGTCTTTTTGTGCCATCCTCTCACCTTCTGGCACTCTATCAGACAATGCTCCCTGCTATTCATAGGGTTTTCATGGCCAGTTTTTTCTCAAGTGGGTGGCTAGGTCCTTCTTCCAAGTCTGTCTTAGTCTGGAAGCTCCACTGAAACCTGTCCACCATGGGTGACCTGCTGGTACTTGAAATACCAGTGGCAGAGCTTTCAGCATCCCAGCCACACGCAGCCACCACAGTGTGACAACCGACAGACGGGTGGTGTGGTTCTCTGACCGGGAAATGAACTGGGCCACAGTGGTGAGAGCACCGAATCTTAACCACTAGACCACTAGACCGCTTTCTCACTAGTGCACATTAGTGGGAGTAGATTATTTTTTTTGATAATCAAAAAGTGAATTTGTCAATTTTAATGTTCATTAAACAGTTTTATTTTGTTTTACAAGTGATAAATTCATAAAGAATAAATAAATTTATGACTTCAGAGATATGAGAGATGGTGAGGCTGGGCCTTAACAAATCAATTTGTTTCTTTCTCTGATAGAGTGGAAATTTGACCTGACCCCAAAAGTAAAGGAAAGTTAAGTAGTTTCTGCCCATGATGTTTGCAAAAATGTTTGTTGACCTGTGTAAGGAGAGCCTATGTTTTTTATGGTATCAGTTGCCTGTTTGTCTTGTCACAGTTTACAAGTAGATCACTACACCAAGATCTTATCAATACTGAGCAACCCATGGGCGAGCCCTGTCACTACTCCCTGAGTACCTCTAATCAAGGCTGATACGGTTTGGTGTAGAAATACTCATTTTGAACCTTGATGGTAGAACAGAGAGAAAATCATTTGCCATCAGGTCTCCTCATTCCTGTAAATACTGAAATAGTTTTTTCCTTGGTTTAACCTAGGGAATTGCATAATTGTTCAACAACTTCTATTTGAGCTTTTGCTAGAGTCCAGTAAATACATGTTAATGTGGTGTTTGTTTTGCCAACAAAAAAAGGATCATTGTGTCATTTGGGCCCGGAGTTGAGTCAAGAAATAGTGGTGACCCTGAACCTGCTAGTGTGACTTAAGGTCCGACCTCCAGTTCTAAGCATTAATTAGCTAATTGGTGAGACTTAAAGATGGAACAGCAAGACTCAAAATAATCTTCATGCCCATAATTAGCTTTAAAATCATAAGAATTTTGAAAGTGCCACAGCTTTTACTCCATCAAGTTCTCCAAAACCATTAGGGACTATAAGAAAACACACACACACACCCTATGCATACACCTGCACACACCCACTCATCTTCCCTAGGATACTAACACACACACATACACACACACACACACCCTGTGCCTACACCTGCACACACCCACTCATCTTCCCTAGGATAACACACACACACACACACACCCACACCCTCTGCCTACACCTGCACACACCCACTTATCTTCCCTAGGATAACACACACACATACACACACACACACCCCCTATGCCTATACCTGCACACACCCACTCATCTTCCCTAGGATAATGTAGGAAAGTGTGCAGCTGGGTACCTGAGCAATTTAAAGTTCCAACCAACAAATGTCAACTGTTTAAACCTGTCCCTGCAGATTCTGGGTCCCCAGAAAAAGGTCTTCAGCCTAACATTTTAACCTTAGTGTCCTCATTCATCCTCAGCACACCTTGTGTCTGCTCCCAGGCCCTTTGTTTTGGAGGCTGTTCTCTAACATCCTCCCACCTTCTTTTGACTAAAGACTGACTAATGCTTGGTTCAGGTTTCCCTGTTTTGCCAAGTCACACCAGCTTGACTCAGCTTTGTCTTCCACCTGCTCATCAGGGAGACAGGCGTGCAGTGGAGCCCCCTGGGATAAACATCTCTTCTTCAGACTCTTCAAGTGGTCCTTTTGGGAAGGCAGTCATGCAGCTTTCCCCTGCTTCACCCCTGACTTCCACTGTGCATTTCAGCCTCTATTGCTACTGCTCCTTCTGGAGTTTTTTTCACTTCTTTCTCAAGTCCCTTTTCTTTTTTCTTCCCTTGTTTCTCCTGTCTCTGTGTGTATCTGTGCACAGTGTGTGTTTACTGTCACAAAGGCACATTTTCAGACCCCTACTCCTGTGGTGATGGACACCCTGAGGGTCCCCATGGCAGGACTGGCCTTTTCCCATCAAGTGAGTCCATACTGGGAAGATGGGGATATAATCAGATGGCATCTTTTTATTTAAAAATTGTAAATAAAGTAAAGTACAGGGTATAGCTATTTAAATGTCCCCAAGTGTTCTGTGGGTTATTTTGAGGCTTGATAATTGATTTTAAGAGGACATAGCCATAGCACACCAGCCCAAAATAGGGTTTCTCATTTGCCCCTCCTCCCACCATTGATGTGAAAAATACTTGGAGTTATTTATATCTTATTTCCAAATAAACAATCCAAGAGTGGTATTCTTTCTTTTTCAATATAAATAGGAACCCTCCCATACCCAGGGGTAATGGAAGGTATGATTAGAGAAGATGCCCTATGTTTTAAAGGGACTTCAGTAGGACAAAGGAGAAATTAGAATGACCTGGGAAAAACTGATGACTGGCTCCAAGTTCTGCCCAGGCTTGTGCTCCACAGATCACCTGGGCTGGAAACCAAAAAAGTTAGCTGAGCCCCTGGGAAAAGGGGGAGCGGGAAACTCTGGAGGCCTTTGGAAGGGTGCAGAGCTGGGAATCTCAGTCCCGCTGCAAACAAGTTTCTGTTTCCTTATCAGAAAGTAATAGCCTGGTCTGTCTTTAACCCTTCCATCAGGCACCTGCACCATGAGGATGAGGGCTGGGATCCGTTTCTTACCTTTCTGCTGATCTTGATCGTTAGTCATACTCTAGGATGGCCTATTTTTTTCTCCTCCTTTCCTCTGCCCCTCTTTGTTTTTCTCTTGCTTAGCTCTCAAGCTCTCGCCTTTCCTATCAACCTGCTGCCCTGGGCGTTGGATCAGCTGACCTGGCTTATCCAGTAGTGTTTGCTGCTGGCTTAACCGCCACACACCCTCACCAGGTATCTCTGAAGATGGGGAGCACCCTGGGGGTTCCTATGCTGCCTCCCCTGCCCTGAGGCAGTTGAGGGGCCTCTTGATACACTGGTATTATTTTAAGTGTTCTGAAGCAAAGTTCTGCTGTGACTTTGGAGGACTAAGGTGACTGAGAGGAAGGGGCTTCTTAGACTTCAGAAAGGAAGGAAGAGCTTCCCAGGTGTTTTCTCCCTCTCTTTCCTTCTCCTTGCGTAGTCCTTATCTTGCATGTCTCCCATTTACTGAATCCTAGAGAGGATAAAGATCCAAGGTTTCCTGCCCACTTGGTGGCAGCATTGGTGATGGAAAAGCTCGAAAGCAGACATCATCATGCTAGGCCGTGAGTTTCCCCTCCTGCCTGACACTGCCCTGAGTCACTGTATTTTTCCGTTCTTCCCCACAGCTAATGGTTCCCGGGAAGGAAGGTGGGGTACCCCTTGCTCCCAACCAGCCTGCCCACGGTGCCCAGGCTGACCAGGAGAGATTGGCAACCTACACCCCTTCTGACGGGGCCCACTGTGCTGCCACACCTTCCAGCAGGTGAGTTCACGTCTTGGCTCTGCCACTGCTCAGGCCAGCCAGGGGGCCTGTCCTGCCTGACACATGTGCTTATTTGGTATCAGGAAAGAGCAGCTGTCAGCGTTGGCTCAGGCTTGGCATTTGCACCCAAAATGTGGAATCCTTCAAGTTCCTGATAAGGATCTTATGTTGCAGCTGGTATGTAAGGAAGCTGGCCCTGGGCTTCACTGCCAACAGCAGGGACTGGGCTCTTATCACCCTCACACCTTATCACAGTGAAGGGGTTTCTCAGACATTTTTCTCTGGCCCCGAGATTTATTCCCTTGGAGTCGGTCCTCATTTCTCCTGTAGAACGGGCTGTTTGCCGTCACCCTGGAGTCTGGGGCCACAGTGTATCTTGGTGGTAGTTAGGATTGATTTTCTCTTTCTGCTATGTTAGCACCACGTGGAGATCCTTTAGAAACAGCTATTTTTCCTCATTAAAGTTTTTTTAAAATCTTTGTCTTTTCTGATGACAGAAATGATACATTCTGTAAAATTCACATTATGAAGATGTTGATTAGGTAGAAAATGAAAGTTCTCATAATCCCACCCTGCAAAAATCACCACTGTTACCTCCTTTTCCAAGACCACAGGATCTCAGAAGCATTAAGTAATTTGCCCAAGAGCACTTAGCTCGCAAAATGGCTGGGCACACGCCCAGCTCCTCGGACTGCAAAGCCCATGCTCTCTCTTCCATTCCACTCAGAGTTCTCCCATGGGAAGCTGAGGCTGTGTTGACCTGCTCTGCCCTCCCCTCCCTTGACTGGAAGGCCCCAGAGACAATGACGTTGATTGCCTCACCACATCTTAAATGAATTTTCGGATAATAGAAATTCCTGGCATTTTTTTTTTTTCATTCCCACAGTGGAGTGGTGGGAGGGGAGTTGTTTGGGAAGATCTTTTTGTGCCGTCCATCAGGAAAAATAATTACTTTCATTCCTGGCTTCCCAAATTTCCATTCTCTTATCCCTCCCCCTGTTAGATAATCAAAAGAAGATCTTGTTAGTCATTTTATACGCATTTTCTGAGTCTCGATGCCTGGGGCATGTCCAGGAGTAGCTAAAGAGAGAAGCCCCTGTGAGGGGATTCTTAAATAAATCCAGGTCATCAGAGCTCAGGCCTTTCTTCAGTGCTGGCTGGAGTCCAGAGGCCACTTGGACTGTACAGTCCTCCTCCCAACCTTGGGCCCCTGCTTTTGGCCAGAGGACCTTTCCTATCCCCCGCAGCTTGCAGGGCTGTGACTACTAGTCTGACAGCCACAGTGTGTGCCCCTGTTTCTGCTGCTTGCAGGCCCCTGTCATCCGGGTCATCACCAGTCTGGGGGTCTGGAGAGGGGGGGAGTGGGAGCAACCCAACTGAATGTCATTGAAAGACCTTGCTGAATGGAGGGATGATTGCGGGCGAGGAGAGGGGAGGAAATGTGGTACGGAGCACAGTGGACCGCAGCCCAGCGATTTGTCATGGCCAGAGAAAGCTCTGGCTAACTAGACTCAAATTTGGGACTCTTGACTTAGAATAATGGCAATGTCTCTTGTGAGGTAAGGCATAAATTGAACATTGTACTGTAAACCATACGGTCTTATGGTATTTTTAGATAAAACAAAGAAGATGGAGAAGAGCTAAAATCTTGAGTCTCGCTATGTAAAAGATTAATACTAAAGTTACAGTTGTTTATGAGAGCTGCTTGCCTATACATATGATTACTCTATGCATGGTAACTAATGCTTATTGGTATTTCAGCTTAAATTTTATGTAAGCTTTACACAATTGTAACGCTATATGCATAATTTTGAGTTGTTCTAGGAAATGCAGTCCTCTGCTCTCAACTCAAAAGGGAAGGTGACAGTGGCAGCAGCCAGACGCTTGTTGCCATTTCCCACGTGGGTGGGCTGGTGGGGGACAGCTCCTGCCCTAGGCTGCAGCCCCACCGTGTAGGCTCTGCTGTGGTTTGAGAGTGAGTACCAACACTACCTTTCTTCTCTAGCGAGGATACTGAAACTGTATCAAACAGCAGTGAGGGACGGGCCTCCCCCCATGATGTCTTGGAGACCATCTTTGTCCGAAAAGTGGGGGCTTTTGTCAACAAACCCATCAACCAGGTGATTTTTCTGCCACTGCCACCTGTGAGAATGTCTGAGCCCTTAGAGTGAGGCCTTAAGCTGAGATCTGTAGGCACCACTGAAATTGCATGCAAAATTGTGTATGGGTGAATTTTTGGTGAAGAGGGTTAGTAACCTGCCACACCCCTCTAGAAATAGTTAAGAACTACTGTTCTGTGATCTTTTAAGCCTCCCATAGGAGAGGGAGACTAGACATCCTTTAGTACAAGCACATTGCATGGGAAGTGTCATTGTCTCAGCCTAACTTGAAATAGGAAGTTTCTCCTCAGCTCTGTCAGTGAAGAACAGTTGTTACTGAATTACTGTGGGTCAAGCTTCCAAAGCTGAATCTCCAGGGTCCTGGGGAGCCCTAACCCCTGTCTATGCTGTGGGCATGCGATGGGAAGTGGGGGAAGTGGGGGGGGTCGGTCTCCAACAGGACAAGGACCTGAGGGGTGGTGTGGTCAGCCTAGGTGTGCAGACTTGCTGGACCTCCAGGCTTCTGGCAGCCTTTAAGGAGGCACATAAGCTGGGGGAGGGGCGGGCACTAATACTTTGTCCTGTATCCCTTCAGGTGACCCTGACCAGTTTGGACATACCTTTTGCCATGTTTGCTCCCAAGAATTTGGAGCTGGAGGATGCTGATCCCATGGTGAGTCCCCCGTTGACTAACGGGGACGTCCAGGGAGATGGCGCTGTAGTCGTCGTGGTCCTTCCCGGGCGAGGCACTCTTCCTCCACAGACCATTAGCCATGCCCCTTGCTTTATGGATTTGCAGCTCACGTTGGGTCCCTTACAAAACCCTTGATTGTTAATGGTAACTTGCACCCAGTGCACAGAACCAGCCCCTACCTCTGCCTTATTCTGAAACAGGTGAATCCTCCGGATTCCCCAGAGACTGAATCTCCTCTCCAGGGCAGCCTGCACTCTGATGGCTCCAGCGGCGGCAGCAGTGGCAATACTCACGACGACTTTGTTATGATTGACTTTGTAAGTTGCCATCGCCTTCCTTGACTTTTGCTGCCCCAGGGAAAATAAACCTGGAAGAATTTGAACAGGACTTCCTTCACAGGGATCACATGGGCCAGCATAGACAAAGGGGATGGGGCAGGTGGGTGCCCGGCGGTGCAGTTTATGTGGGGAACCTGCCCTCATACCCTGCTTGGGGAGGCATTTGGAGACCCATGAACAATAAGGCATTTTGTGCCATGTCTTTGGTTGAAATTCATAATGAAATCCAGCTCTAAATGGGGATTTCCCAGTGGTATGCATGTAGGTCATATTCATGCCTGAGTGGATAGCCCTTTGCTGAGGAAAGGTGTTTGAAGGAAGGAGACAGAAACCTAACCAGGGGAGAAGAGTGTTACCACCAGGGTTAGAATTCAGCTGCCCAGAAGAGAAAGGTATAAAGATGCTCCTCCTAAGATAAGCCTGGAGGAACCTTTTTTTTGACAATTCCTGGAAGGAAAGAGTGTTGTTCGTCGCTTAAGTCCTCTGATTTTCCCCTGTGGTCCAAGGCAAGCTAACCTGAGTCTGTCTTATTTTTGAAGAAACCGGCCTTTTCTAAAGATGACATTCTTCCAATGGACTTGGGGACCTTCTATCGTGAATTTCAGAACCCCCCTCAGCTGAGCAGCCTCTCCATAGATATTGGGGCACAGTCCATGGCCGAAGACTTGGTATGGAAACCCCTTCCCCCACCACACCCCTTTGATGGTCATTCCTGCTCCACAGGCCTAGAAATTTCTTCCTGTTACTCCTCCTACCCCTCTTCTCCCATCTTCCCTATAACAGGAAAGAGATACTTTTAGACCATTATCTTCTTTTGATCACACTTGAGATTTGCATTGTGCCTGGCAGTCGTTATCTTGAATTTGCTTGCGCTCGCTTCCTCTTTTTCTCTGCACACTCCCAGCAGTACTGACACACTCCTGTTGTTTGGTGCCCAAGGTCTTCTACTTGCTGATGCCACGAACCAAGCTGCTCCAACAGCTCTTGCCTCAGCTGTTTAGCTTGCCAGGCAGATGCCAATGGTCCAGGGCAGAAGAAACGTGAGGCTGACTCTTGGTGTTCTTGCCCTTTCCGCAGACAGCCCGTCCCTCAGCTAGCGGTTCTCATGCTTAGCCAGATGTCCTGGTACTAACTGTAATTACCACATCTCCGCCTAGGCTATTTCCTATTTCCTGCCTCGAAGGACAGAGGACCGCCCTGCACAGCCAGAAACTCTGGGGCCCCACACCACGAGATGTCGGGGTCCCTCTGCTTGAGGTGGGACTATCATCTCCTATATCGAAATTAGAGGAATGGCTCAAGACATAGGAATCTGGGAATAGCTGCCCTTGATTTCTTTAAACAGAAAAGCGTGCACAGTAATAATAACAATAGAGTAATAATGTCATTACTATTATTAAGATTTATCGAGGCTTTCTAGGTGCCAAGCATTTTTCTAAGTGCTTTACATGAAGCTTCAACAACCCTGAGAGGTAGGTTTTCTTATTATCCCAGTTGACAGATGAGAAAACCAACACTGAACAGATAACTTGCCCGTGGTCACACCAAGCGGGCAAAACAAAGCTTTGATCCTGGAGAGTCTGGCTTCTGATTTTAGGCTTAACTACTGACTCCCCAGACTCTCATTTGAAATGTGCTTGGAAGGAACTGAACTCTGAAGGCTTTCAAAGTGACGCTGCAGCCGGTTGCCCCAGCCTCCCAGACCTGCCGGGCTGTCTGGTATGTCCAGGCCATGTTATAGGTTCTGAGGCAAGAGAGTGCCCCACCTTCCAAGTATGTTGTGCCTGTCAGGGAGTCTGCAGATGCAAATTCATCAGTGGAGACAGACCGCCTGATTAAGGTCAAGTCTTTTTGTGTGTGTGAGGAAGATCAGCCCTGAGCTAACATTCATGCCCATCCTCCTCTTTTTGCTGAGGAAGACCAGCCCTGAGCTAACATCTATTGCCAATCCTCCTCTTTTTTTTTCCCCCTTTTTCTCCCCAAAGCCCCAGTAGATAGTTGTATGTCATAGTGGCACATCCTTCTAGTTGCTGTATGTGGGACGGGGCCTCAGCATGGCCGGACAAGCAGTATGTCGGTGCGCGCCCGGGATCCGAACCCAGGCCGTCAGTAGCAGAGTGTGAGCACTTAACTGCTAAGCCACGGGGCCGGCCCCAAGGTCAAGTTTTTATTAAGAGTTGATTCCTGTGGGCAGTTAAACTTAACTCCTCATGGTTCTGTTTTCTTCTCTTTTTTTGTTGTTCTCTCTCAGCCCCCTCTCACCTCAGCTGGTGTAAAGATGCAGATTCCTAGGCCTCCCCACAGACCTGCTGAGTCAGCATCTCTTGGGCCTGTGGTTAGGGCTCCTTATCCATGTGCCTGAAGGGGGTTCTGGTGCCCAGCACAGGATGTGAAGAAATCTTTCAGAACCTTTCCTTCATTTGTAGCACTCTGAACCTATTGTTTTATTCTAGTCAGTCTAATTGTGCCAACGATATCTCACGTGTGATTTCTCTATCATCCTGTTGTCCTCCATTTCTCTGTCAGCCTGGTCCTTTTCTATCTCGTTAAGTGTGTGGCCCACTTGGAGTTCCTAGGCTGTTCTGTCAACCCTCCAGCCCCAACAAAACCCTGCTGGACATAAGCCTGCTGTCCAGTGCCTGCTCAGCTGCCCTGCCTTCTCCTGCTCTCCCAGCTCAGCCCTGCTGAGCCAGCTCTCTGCTGCGCTCCCTTCCTCAGCCCAGGGTGACTGGGCTAACTGCCTCATCAAAGCCCTACCTGAATAAGCAGCTTTTCTCTCCCCTCCCGGTACAGGACTCACTACCAGAGAAGCTGGCTGTGCACGAGAAGAATGTCCGAGAATTTGATGCCTTTGTAGAAACCCTGCAGTAAAAGTTGGTGTCCTCGAGTACCAGCGTCCCCTTTCTGTGGTCCCAGGAGACAAAGAGCCTCTCACTCATCAGCTGCTCCCATCCCTGGTCCTGCTCCAAGCCAGGTGGAGGGGAGGCTGGGGACCCCGACATCCCTGCTCTTGTACCTCCTGGAGACTCCATGGCAGCAGTCAAGCCCAGTAATAGCATTTGAGAGGACTCAGCCTCTGGCCCTGGAGATGGGAAGACCTTTTGTAACAAAAGGGCCCTCCACAGGGCCATCTGCTTACACCGCCCATCAGCGTCTGCTTCACAAAGGTTGTCATCCTGTTCCTCCTGCTGCCGGCCCCCTGCCCTGGGGCTGCCCTGCAGCTGGCCCCTCGCCTGCCTGCCTTTACCATCACCATTTGACATTCCAGCTGGTGGCCCAGAGCCTGGGGTGGTGGCAGAAAGAGGAAGGAGTCGGTGCTGGGAGGAAGAAGGAAGGACTCCTTCAGGCTTTCTATGTTGTTTCCCTTAGTTCTGGTATCTTCTTCCTCTCTCTGCCCCTGTGCCTCTACTTTTGGCAGTATGACAGGCCTCCTGCCCAACTCCAAAGTCAGCCATTCCCCCCTTGAAGGTGTGCCAGCTCATCCCTTAACAGAAGGTCTGAGCAGCCCTGGTGGCTGCCTGTGCTCAGCTCCTCAGCTACGTGGAAACACAGTCCTGTGTCTCTAGGATTCTGTCATTAGGCGTCACAGCAAAGGTTCTTCTCTTTCCTCTCCTCCCTCCCCATTGCTGCTCCTTGGTTATAGAACACGGTAATTATTTATTACTTTCAGAGAAATCAGATATTTTATAGAGAAAATATGTTTGAGGTTAGATGTTTTCACTTGGGGATGGTGGAGGGCCTCTCCCTGGGGCAGAGCCTCCTTCTGTGGAGGTTCCTCAGATTCTGGGTTGCTGCTCTGAGGATCTTCCTTCCCATATATATAGGGTAGGATCCAAGAAGATGGCTGGCTGAGGGCAACAGAACCTCCCAGAATCTCTGCATTTGAACTGACAACAGGCTTTACCTTGGACACTCACATATTCCTGGTGAGAGCCTTGAATCTCTCATAGCTTCTGCACAGTGACTGACTCTGTTCTGGCAGCCCAGGAGGTCTTGGGTGCCAAGTGTGTTGACTCCCCAGGTTTGTGCCACATACAGTGCCCAAGGGGCATTGTGTGTGCCCTGCTGTGGACCCGGGGAAGGCCAGACAGCCCCTCCTTCTGGGGTACTTGTTCCTGTTTCTTGGGGCTGAGTTATGGGCTTTTTCCTCTTTCTGCCTGGGCCTGGCTGCCACCTTCCTTTAATCCCGGGGTCTGTACACTGCCCTGAGGTTTACTGGTTGGACTGGTTCCTTGTTAAGAAACCAAAGCTGGGCATATGATTGACTTAACCCTTCAGGTATTGTTACTTGAGTAAGTCAAGTGCCTAGCTTCACCCACCTACCATTTGTCTCTCCCGGCCTAACTGGTAGTCCTGGCCCCGGAAAACGAGGCCTGCCCCCTTCCTCCTGGCCCACCTGGGGTATTCATTGGCAGCAGCTATTGTTCTGCTGTGGAGCAGGTGGCCCTCAATTGCTTGTTAGTAAATGCATGTGACATTGTTCCCACCTACAAGGCTGACCTCTGAGGGCCGGAGTAGGCTCTGATGCTGTCTCAGGCTGAGCCCTGCCCCTGTGCGTGCGTTCTGCTGCCGCAAAGAAGTGTTCCCAGCAGTGGTGTCTAACTGGCCCTCCTATCTTTGGGCCAAAGCACACCGATGGCCTGCTAAACCAATCCAGATTTACCTGCAAGGCCCCAGCGCTGAGAGGGGTGAGGGCCCTGCAAGTTTGATTGCCTCCCCCACCTGGCCCCAATAGCTCAGCTGCTGCCCTCCTTCCAAGGCCAAACATGGAAAGGCCTGTTAGCCATTGTCCTCTTTGACTCCCAACTGTTGGCCTCTGCAGGCAGCAGCCTTTCTTCAGGACCCCATCAGTGAGGCCAGGGAGGCTGAGCCCTGACTTTGAGCTGAGCCTGGGAGGAGCAGAGCAACTGTCAAGGCCGGCCCTTGCCCCTCAGCCCTGTACAATAAAAGGTATGAGCCCTAAACTGATGCCTGCAGCCCCCTCGGACTGGGACCAGTCATCTGTCTCCAGGTGGCAGAGTCCCTCCCGCTCCTCCAGCCTATCTTGTTTGGAAATACTGAGCTAGCCTTTAAAATGTATTCAAGAGATTTCCAATAAAATTTTTTCTGTACTTTACAGCCTCCTGTCCTGCAAGTCGTCTAAAATCCTAGCCAGCTCCCTCCCACTTCTGCAGGCCCAGGTCACCGGCAGGCTCTGTGGAGGGGGAAGAGCGTGCCGTGTGAGGCACAGGCGGGCTTCAGAGTCAGGCAGGCTGTTGGAGTACTGGGGTTTGGCCACTTCCCAGCTGTGCAACCTTGGGCGGGTCAGGAAACCTCTTAGAGCCTCCTCGTTTTCCTTGGTTGTAATGTTCCCGTTTCAGGGGCTTGTATGCAAATACTCAGTGGGATGATGTGTATGAAGTAGACATGCATATGAAGTACAATCGTAGTAAAATCTCCAAAAATGTAGGCCATTATCATCAGCTCTTTTTCCCCCTTTGCAGCACAGCTCACCACTCAGCCTGGAGGCAATCGCCTTTGGCTCTGCGGAAGGACAGTTGACAGGTCTCTGCCATGTTTCCAGCAGAAGCTGAGCGGGGAGTGTACTGGGGCTCCCCAAGCTGCCGGGGATCTGTTTGCTGATCTAGTGTGAGGGCTGTGGCTGAGCAAACCAGACAGAGGAAAGGGGCTGAGTGAAGCAGCAGGAGTCAGGGGCCTGTTCAGGTTTGCTTAGCTGCCCTGATCTGACAAACAGCTCAAGCCAGGGCCTGGGGGAGTCTCTGAGGAGCCTTGAACAGTAGAAGATCCCCACGGGGATTATTCCTGTGGCCCCCTGCGGGCTTCTGCGGCAGGCATCTCAGTCTGGCAAAGCAGCTCCTGCCTCCTAGTTTGTGCCTGCGGTGGAGGAAGGGAGCTGAAGGTAGAGCCAGCGTCCCAGAGGCAAAGGTGCTTCTAGAGGCTGGAGACTGGCTGCCTGACAGCCCTGGACAATTGCAGTCTGGGTGGCTCCCCACCCCCTTCAGGCTGAAGCCAGGCCCCAGGACAGAAAAGGGCTGGTTAGAAAATTCTAAATTCAGGGGCCGGCACGGTGGCTTAGTGGTTAAGTTCGCCCTCTCTGCTTTGGTGGCCTGGGGTTCGCAGGTTCGGATCCTGGGCACAGATTGACACACAGTTTAAGCCATGCTGTGACGGTGTCCCATATAAAGTAGAGGAAGATGGCCACGGATGTTAGCCCAGGGCCAATCTTCCTCAGCAAAAAGAGGAGGATTGGCAACAGATGTTAGCTCAGGGCTGATCTTCCTCACACACACACAGAAAAGAGTATTCTAAGTTCAGCCCAAACCTGGGGCTGAAAAGAATGGAGCCTGCCCACTGCTGCCATGAGGGGCCCTGGGAGCCCTTGCTTGTTAGTAAACTGCACAAGACATTGACCATGATACCCTACCACGCAGCCAGTCAGGACAGAGTTGTCCAACCCCTGGCTCAGGAATGGTGGAAAGACTGTCCCTGGTGTCCTCACTTTCAGTTGGGATCCCCAAAAGCAAAGTGTTCGGTTGCCCCATGCCTGACGACGGTGTCCCACCTCCTTTAAAGCATCTCCCTACACGTGGCCCCCAGAGGCCTGCTGTTGCTAAGGCAGGGCAGACTGGCTTTTGAGTCACTCAGCAGAGGCCCTGCCAGGAGCCCAACCTAAGTAAACAGCTCTCCCTGTTTCCCACTCCCTCTCTTGTTATTGCCCTGGTCACTGTCCCTCTGTTGTAAACAGTCACCCAGCTTGGAGCTGAGCAGAGCCAGGGGGAGAGAGAGGCCGCCCGTGCCTTCTGTTTGAGCTGCCTAGATGAGGACCACAGTTGTGCAACAGGACCAGCCTCCTGGAGCTCAGTGCCTGTGTTTGTGACCACCATGTAACACCACCACTTGATCCTGCAGCTCTGGCCTGGCTCCCTCAGCCCAAGCAAGTGATGAGGAGAAAAAAGAAGAGGCCTGATAGGCCACCAAGGCCTCCTGATTGCAATCAGCAGGCAGGCGGCAAACAGCTGCAACTTGACCTTGACCACTGTGCCAAGTGACATTCTGACCGACTCTCCCAGTGATAAACGATTTTTAAAAATTGTGGTAAGATACACATCACAAATTTTACCATCTTAACCTTTAAAGCAAAGCAAAACCTGCTCAAAAGAGGAAAGGAAAACTGGATCTTTCATAGCCTCCGTGTGACTAAGTGGCAGGCTCTCAGGCTGAGGGGAGGGAGGAGGAGCAGAATGGTCAGGAGAGGAGGGTTCCAGTGCCGGCTGCTGCACGAGGTTGGGACTACCACTCGCTCATCTGTGAAATGATGGTCATTCTAGTTACTGCTGGGTACTTGCTCCATGTTATGTACTGTATACATTATTTCTGATCCTCAGAGAAATGAAGAACCAGTCTCAGAGGTGGGGCCAATTACGCGACTAGTACCAGTTAGAGCTGGTGGTGAATGACGGAACTAGGATGCGAACCTTGGTCTGACTCTGAAGCCCATACTGTCGTCCACCACAGTCCACTCCATTTTAGAGACAGAAGAGGCCCTGGTCATCAGCCACAGCACTTGGTGGCCAGTTGGAATGCTGCAGGTGCAAAAAATGGAAGGGGACTGTCCACACTTCTAAGCCTGGAAGATGGTCAGAAAGCTGGCTTCATGCCCACTCACAAGTGAACACGAAGAGGAAGGGGGTCAGAGGGACTGGGGAGGGGACTTCCTGAGGCCCCATCTGCTCTTCCGGAACCACACCACACTTCCCACCAAGTTCTGAACCTCCATGCTCACTTCCTTAACAGCCAGATGGGCAGTTTCCATCTCCATTTTTATTGAAATACAAAAAGTGCAAAGGTGAAATACATGATTGGTGCCAAGGAAGTCATTAAGTGTGAATGTGACCCCTCGATTCACAGCACAAGTGCCGCCCACCCCCCTCCCCAGGTACAGACCAGATAGATCCGCAGGCTCCCCAGTAAACGGGGCTGTGAGCAACACCTGATATATGAAGGAGGGCAGAAAGCAGAGGCCCAGGCCCCAGCTAGGGACACAGGGATTGATGGAGCCAGCAGCCACGCCAGGCCTGGGAGTCCTGACATGCCAGTGCCCTGGGGAGAGAGCCCAGTGAGGTCAGGGCAGGCCCCACCCGGCCCCCAGATGGAGCTGGGCTGGACACGCTACAGGCTCTGGCCAAGGCTGCGGGGCAGGGCCACTGTGCAGGTACTTCCCTGCTGCCAGGGGACCAGGTTGCAGGAAGGGGGGGCCCCAGGGTTCACCAGGAAGGAGTGTAATTCTAAGGGACACAGCTGGAATGAGGGATATCCATCATCATCAGGGTCCAGGTTTTCTGAAAGACACCAGGGCCCTGGGGCCCCACGCTCCTTGGGGGAGGTTGCTAGAACTCATCTGGCAGGGGCCAAGCTAATTAGCAAAGTCTCTGCCCGGCCCCCCCAGGAGCCCCCAGCTAAGGAAGGAGCCACCATGGATCCTGAGGCACTGAGTCATCTCTGGCCAGAGCAGGGACAGTGTGTCTCCACAACACACATGTCCCTAAGAGCCTCAGGCTGAGGATCTGTCCAGGTGGGAAGGGAGGCAAGGCATGGGGGGCTGAGACTGCTTGTCAGTGGTCTGACCAGACACCAGGGGGCTCTCGGGGGTTATTTCAAATGGATGCTGGGACTCCGCCCTGTCATCCAAGCTGCCAGTCCTGGCAGAACCAGGGGGTAAGGACATCCTGAGGGCAGTACCACTTGGGAAAGGAGGACCCAGGATGTGTAGAAGAGAAGGCAGAAGTAGGAAGCCAACTCCGGCCTTGTCGTTCCTTAGCTGTGGAAATACCCAAAGCTGAGCCATTAGAGGCGAGGACAGGAGCAGGATGCTTGCACCCAGGCCTTCACCCAAACTGGGGAGCCTCAGCAGGGCCGGCCAGCTCAGCCTTTCATTCCCCAGCAATCAGGAAGGGGAGGACCAGCCCCAGCGACCAGCCCAGCCGGCAGTGATTTTGGCATCTGCAGTTGCCAGGGAAAGAGGCAGGAGAAAGCCAGAAAGGGGGTGCCAGGGCCAGTCCTTCTGCTGGAGAGCCAAGGCCAGCTCTGCAGAACCCGGCAGGAGCCAGGGATCCAAGGAGGCAGTGAGAAGTATAAGGCGAAGAAAATGTCTTGTGGTTACAGCAAGGCCTCCAGGGCCGGAGACGTGGGCTGGACAGAAGGAGGAGGAGGAGCTGCCCAGTTGGCTGGCTCCAGCTTCTATCTCCCGGGGGCCTCATGGCCCCTTCCCGGGCAGGAGTCCCGGGCTCCTGTAAGGCTGATGCCAAGAGGAAGATTCCAAACTGGGGCTATCAGAGAAGGGGGCTGGTGGGGCAGGGGCTAGTTTCAGAGCCCCTTGGAGTCAGGGCTAGGGAACAACTCCCACTGATGGTCCAGGAGGAACTTGGTGAAGGTGTTGATGGGATTAATGGCCTTGAGTGTGATCGCAGCATCCTTGGCCCACAGCAGATTAGGGCCGAAGACGACAGCCAGGTTAGTATTGGTCATTTTGTTGTGGTCAGAGTGGGCAGAAATCTGTGGAGGGAATCAGGGGGCTGCAGCAGGAAGCCACAGACCCTGCCTCCTGCACCCATGCCAGGGAGCAGCAGGGGCGGCAGCTCCTCCTCCCTTCCTCCCTCCTCCAGGTGAGCAGTCCAGCTGAGGCCGAGGTCTCACCTGCACCAGGAAGGCAGTAAGGAACTGAAGCACCTGGTAGTTCTCCTCAGGCAGCGTCCGGAGGACCTGCAGCGTCGCCTCCACTCTCTGGCTCTCGTCAATGTCTATGAGGAATGGGGGCCCAGGTTACAGGAGCCGGGGCCGGGGCCGGGGCCAGGCTGCTTCAGGAGGCCTTAACACGAGGCTAGAAGGGAGACCCCAACCAGACTTTCCTTGGAGGATAGGCCAGACCCACCTGCTCCGAGTCCAGCCCCAACCCGGCAGAATAAGCACAGAGCTGAGGAGGGAAGAGAGGGGTGGGCACTCACTGAGGAAGCTCACAACATGGGGGTAGAGGTCAAAGGTGAGCAAGGGCTCAGGAAGCTCCCGGAGGAAGGTCTTGAGGATGACCGCTGGCAGGTGCAACTCGTTGTACTGGTCGAAGTCCACAGGCAGCCCTGGGGGTGGGGGCGGGGGGAGGAGGGATGGAGAGGAGCTGGGCCCCGCCTGGAGGCCTCCAGCCCATCCGGAGGCCAAGTAGGCGCCACTGCCTGATTTCGTCCTCAGCCACAAGCCTCCTCCTCCTCCTCCCAGGGAGCTTCCTCTTGCACCCGCCTTCCCCTCTCCCGCTGTGACAAGGGGACCCAGATTCAGGCCATCCGGGTGGAGTGGGGGCCCCCAGCACACACTAGTTGTTCCTCGCCTCTGAATGAACCTGAACCCAGGACCCAGGAGCCTGACCAATGAGGGAGCAGGCCCAGCACAGCCAGGCAGGAGTGGGACCCATGTAATTATGCCAAATGCCACAGAAACCTCTGACAGGAACAGAATCTGGGACCCTTGTTTTCAGGGCAGCAGAAGGCAGAGAAGCCCCCAGCAGTCACACACATGCCCCCAACCCCATCACACACACACACACGCGCGCATGCGCACACACGTGATCTGTACCGGCCCTCTGGGCCTGGACGCATCCCCCGGACCACTCACCCATGTTGTACTTCTGCTGCACTTCCCGTACAATTTGGGTGTTAGCCGACCGCCGGAAAATCCCCTCAGTGGTGAGAGCTGGGAACAGTGGGGCTGGTGAGTCTCAGAGCTCTGAGGCACTGTGGAGACTCCCCACCCATTCTATGTCTTGGGGTTCCAGTCAGGTCAGTGTGGGTGCTGACGCACGTGAGACCTCTCAGCCCTGCCCAGCTGAGAGGGGTCAGGGCTGAAGGGGAGGGCTGGACCCTGGCACTCACCGTGGGCCTGCAGGTAGGCAACGGTCTCCCGGATCACGAGCGGAATGGGCTCATGATCTGGGTTCTTGTCCCGGAGGCTGTGGGGACAAGGGCAGTGAGCTGGGTCTGTGGCCTTCCCGGTCCCCAGGCCCCAGGCCTGCCCACCTTTCATACTCACTGCTGCAACGAGACCCCAAATTGCTGGTTGGGCAGAGGGGGCCGTGGTGGCATGGGCTTGGGGGCTGTGGCAGGGCTCTTCTGTGTGGACTTGAGGAAGTCATCATACCTGGGGGAGCAGATGGGACCCCAGCTCTGGTCACCATGGCAACCTCTGTTTGTCAGGCACTCACTGGGCTATTTACACGGGTTACTTCATTCAATCCTCATAGCAACCCTGCTTCACGCATGAGGGAGTACAGACTTTAAAGAGATTCAGTCATATAGCTTTTAAGTGACAGAAATGGGATTTGAACTCGCCCTCTGACCCCACATGCCTTGGTACTCTTCTTGTACCTCCAGAGGCAGAACGGGAACTGAGGAGTGGGCATGGGAGGACAGGCACCGAGCTGGGTTCTGAATCACTACATTCGCTTCCTCTGTTTATCCGGGGGTTCTCAAGGCTTCCTTTCCCCTCGGCCGGCATGTCCTACCCCACAAACATGAGCTATGTGGCACGCACAGCCCCTGCCCCCTGCCTCACTTGAGCACTTGGCGAGGGATGCCCAGCTGCTCCAGCTTCACGTGCTCGCTCAGCTCACTCAGGTAGTTCACGTAGAAGATCTTCTGCCCAAACTTGAAGCTGCCGACGGAGGAAAGGGCACGGGTCGGGGAGTTGGGCCTGCTTCGGCAGGCCTCCACTGTCCCCTCAGCAGCCCACCCAGATCAGACCGAGGCCCAGCCCCAACTGGTCTATCCCCAGGATGCTTGGCCTTCTCAGGTTTCTGCTGCAGAGTTCAAGGGAAAGCCCGAGGAGACCACTGGCCCGCCCTCGGCCTGCTCACCTAATGATGGGCTTAAAGAGGATGAGCAGGGTCTTGATGAACATGGTGGGGTGCACGATGTACAAGGCCTTGATATTCTTCTTGTACCTGCAGAAGCAGAACGGAAACTCAGGAGTGGGCGTGGGAGGATGGGCACAGAGCTGCGTTCTGAAAGGATGTTTTCTGATTGGACTACTCATGGCAAGCCTGCGAAGTAAATGCCATTGTTGCCCCGCTTTACAGATTAGGAAACGGAGGCCCAGAGAGGTTAAGTCACGTGAAGGGTCACAGAGCGAGTAAGTAGAGAAATTGGGATTCAAGCCCAGGCTGTTCCGACTTCAGACTCTCTGTGTTTACCCAGGCGGGGGCACCTGCTTCCCCCTGGTATGGAATAAACTCCTGCCCAGGTGGAGGGCAGCCTGGAATCTGGCAGAGAGCTGGCTCCAGAGCCACCTGCCCCCAGGCCCCAACCCACTTGCGGTCAAACTCCCTGTAGGCATCGCGGAGCCAGCTGAGAGAGGGCTTGTTGTCACTGGTCAGGCCGTGGTGCAGGTAGAGCAGCGTGTAGTCACTCTCCACATACTGGTCCAGGGTGTGCTTCAGGTACCTTCGAGAGAAAAGCCCTGCTCAGGCCTGCCCTGCGCACAAGCATGGCCCCATTCAGACAAAACCCAGCACCTCAGGAACCTCCTGCTTCTCTTACACCCCGCCCCATGAGCCCCAGCCCTGCCGTCTCTATTCTGGCTGCATAATCAGTCGCTATGTTGTTGTGGAGGAGGTACAGGGTAGTGGCTGGGCTGGGCAGAGGAATAACAATAATAATATCAACAACAACAGCCCTCAGTTTCGAGCACTGACTAGAAGCCAGGAGACCAGGATCCATCTGGAGCCCTTTCACATACCTGCAGAAAAAATGGGAATAATACTTGCTCACAGGATTGCCCTGAGTCAATAATAATGACGAATCACCATTTGTCAATATTAAGGTTTTAGAGTCCGCCAAGCACTTTGCATACATTATCTCAGGACTTCCTGGTAACAATCAAGGCTGATATTATCCCCTTCTCATGAGTGAGGGCAATGAGGCTCAGAGAGGTCAAGTGCTTATCCAAGGTCACACAGCTTGTGGTAGAGCCTGGAGGTGAACTAACTCCAAAGTTTGTGTTCTCGACCACAGGACAGCTCTGTCTTTTACACTCGAACTGGCGCAAGCTGTAAAACACTGTGCCTGTAGAGGGGATCGGGGTGGCCAGAGGGTGCCGTCCTCTGCTCAAGTCACTGGGCTTTTCATGGGCTGAAGAGCCATATCTCTGGGTCCCTATGCTCACGACATGATACCTAGCACCCCAACACAAACACAGCCGGTGTGGAGCCCACCTGAGCTGGAGAAGTAGGGAGCGATCGGACAGGAATTCCAGAAAGGGAGAGGATCCAGTGGAAAGCCCTCTTTCTGGTTAGCCGGCTCCCAGGCCCCAGCAGGATCACCACTCCAGGCTGAGAGGCTGGGCAGGCAGGAATGCTAAGGGCTTCGAAGGGGAGGCAGGGAAGGAGGGAAGGAGCCTTGAGAAGTGCCCAAGGATTGGACTACATGCCCAGATACAACCTCACCTGACCCAGAGAGGGTAACCTAAACACTGGTCCGTGGGTGCTGGGCCAGGCCAGTACAGGTGGGCATGTGAAGTGTCGACAGCTGGATTATTAATGTGATTCCAACTGTTATTAACTAGGCAATAATTTATGCCTTACACACATGGAGCGCTTTGCAGTTTGCAAAGAGCCATCACATAAAAAGATGGCATTTTGGGCCGGCCCCGTGGCTTAGTGGTTAAGTGCGCCAGCTCTGCTGCTGGCGGCCCAGGTTCAGATCCCGGGCGTGCATCGACGCACCACTTCTCCGGCCATGCTGAGGCCACATCCCACATGCAGCAACTAGAAGGATGTGCAGCTATGACATACAACTATCTACTCGGGCTTTGGGGTAAAAATCAATCAATCAATAAAAAAAAAAAAAAAAAAGATGGCATTTTGCAATGACAAAATAGCAAAAATTGTAGTGAAACTCACTCATTCTTTGATGGACCTTTTGGAGGATGATCAAGTGATGTTTATCAGAAGCTATAAAATGTCCCTACTCTTTGACCCTGTAAAAATATGGCCAGGAATTTACCCTAAGGAAATAATCAGATGAACAGCAACATTTTTGTGGAAGGCTGTTTATTGCAGCCTGTTTTATAATGGAAAAAAAAAATGGAGCAGCAAGTTTGTCCAACAACAGGGAATTGGTTAAATAAATCACAGGCCATCTATAAATAGAATACCTCACAGGATGTTTCTGCAGACAGAACCAATCTGTGAAGTCAGAGGTCAGAACAGTGGTTACTCTTTGGAGAAGTTGTTGCAAGAGCAAAGGGAGGTTTGTGCAGGTGACGTGGTGTGTTCAGTTTTGAAAACCGATCAAGCAGTATACATAATCTGTTCACTTTATCTATATTATATGTCAATAAAATGTTTTTTGAGGATGTCCTTAAAGAATGTTTAATGCTCAGAAGATAAAAACGTTTGTAAGATACAAAGCTGACTAGAGTTCTGTATATGTTAGGGAAAAAATAGAAAGTGAATGGGCTAAAATGTTAACAGTGGTTTTCTCTCTGGGTGGTGGTTTTATGGGAGAATTTTTTTTTTATAGTTGTCTATATTTTTTCTTTATAGCTACCTACATTTTTCTAAATTCTTGAAATTGTAATACTTTACAAATGTATACAATGGCATTTCACATATATTATCTTACCTAAACCCCACACGACCCTGTGAGGTGTGCACAATTCTTATTTTTATAAGGCTCAGAAGGGACCAGCCCCCAAAGCACACAGCTAGTAAGAGGCAGAGCTGAAGTTTAATCTGTCTTCTGAATCCAAGCTTCAGGCACTTTCTATCTCAAGCCCCCAGATCTGGGTGGACAGCTGGGAAAGCAAAGTCTGAGATAAGCTGACCGAAAACAAGACGACTGGACTGATCCATGCTGGCGGCGCCTCCCTGCTGCCAGCAGAGACTGTGACCAGGCCAGGCGGGGGTGGGGCACCTGCCCAGGAAGGGACGGAGGACAGACAGGATGGATGGCAGAGGGCTTCCTGAAGCCGGAGGAAGCCTCGGCGTGGGGCGGCCTCACTCAGCAAGTTTTTTCCTGAAAACTGGGTGCTTTCCCATCGCCATCCTGACTTCCTCCCACTCGGACTACTATCTGGCCAGGAGTCTGTCACCTGCCTTGTCAGATGTGACGGAACCAGTGGGGAGGGCAGGTGACTCAGCCATCCTCAGGCTGCGCTCCTCGGCCTGTTCCCGGCAGGGCCACGTGGGGGGCCTGGGCAAGGCTCTGCCTGCCTGTCTGAGGCGCGGCGGGAGGAGGGCTCAGGTGGCCAGGGATAAAGAGCTCACACGAGGCAGGAGACTCAGCCCCGGTCCTGGCTCACAGGGACCACAGAGACTCTGCACACAGGCCCTTCCCCTTCTGCTGACCCCCTGCCTGTCCCCGCCCCCCCCCGCCCCCCACAGAACCATTCGGGATCCCAAAGAGCTGGTATGGGCAGTGCAGACATTTTCAACTGCAGGGAGTGCTTTAAACTGGTCAGGAAAGAGGTGCAAGATGGCAACCAGACACACACCGAGGAGCATCAGGAGGAAATCAGTTATGGCTCTGCCTCCATGGGGGTCCTATCCATGCTGTGGGCCCAGTGCCAGCGCACTGGTGGCTCAGCAATGAATGTTTATCGGAACAAGGTCTGTCGAACTCCCGCTTTCAATCAGCCTTCGGACTTGCATCGGGAGATTTCTAGACCAACCAGAGCTAGTGCATATATTTGGCTAACAGAACCCAGATAGGTACAGAAGTCAATGGCACCAAATTTGGCACAAAATAACACTAATTATCCATACAAATGATGAATGACTGCAGCCACATCAGACACCATATCATTATAATAATTAGGCCTCACATTTGAGCAGTATTTTACTTTTCAAAGCATTTTCATGTGCAATATCTCACTCCTACGAGGAAGAAGGGCTATATGATTATCCCTTGTGAAAAGTGAAGAAAAAGAGCCTTAAAGAGGTGAAGGCACTTGCCAAGGTTACACAGTTTCCAGGACTAGAACCCAGGTCTGATTCCTGGCCCAGTGCTCTCCCCTAAATGTAAAATAGCTCCCTCAGAAGAGGGGAGGCACTGAGGCGGTGGCCTGGCACCCCCGGGCAGGGAGGGACAGTAAGGAAAACGGCATCAGGTTCTACTGGGCATAGGTGCCACCACCTTCCCCATGGGTACTCACCCCAGGAGCTTGCTGTGGTCCAGCTGGTGGCTTGGGGGCATTCGGCAGGCACTAAAGACAATGATCTTCCGCCCATATTTGTCATCTCCTAGGTGTGGAGAAAGATGGAGCACGGTGGGTGGAAGATGAACCGAGAGAAGCAGGGAGAGAAACTGAAAGGTACCGGGCCCGGAGACCTGGACCATGGAGCACAGGAGCCAGAGTGGCCCGTGCAGATCTACCTCTGGGCAGCTGCCTGCACTCACGGGCGTGTCGCTGAAGGAGGGACAGGTTGCTCTCAGGGCTAGTCTGCTGGGGTATAAGAAATACATGACTTTTAAAAAAGCCATTCCTGGTAGAAACAACTCAAATGTCCATCCATGGATGAATGGATAAGGAAAATGTGGTATATCCATGCAACGGAACATTGTTTGGCTATAAAAATGAATGAAGTACTTACACATGCTACATTGTAAATAAACCTTGAAAACATTATGCTAAATGAAAGAAGCTAAACACAAAGGGCTACATACTGTATGATTCCCTTTGTATGAACTGTCTAGAATATGTAAATTTATAGAGACAGAAAGCAAATTAGTGGTTGCCAGGTGCTGGGAGGAGGGGAGAATGGAGACTGACTGCTTATGGGTACAGGGTTTGCTATGGGTATGGATGAAATTTTGGAACTAGATAGAAATGTACAACATTGTGAATGTACTAAATATCAGCAAATTGTACACTTTAACATGGTTAATTTTATATTAGGTAAATTTTACCTCAATTTAAAAAAAAGTCACACCCACCAAAGCAATTGTTATCTTGCTAAACAGTTATCTAAAAGTCCACGCATATTGCAGAAGCACCCCCTCTGAGCAGCATGTATTTGGGAAACTTCTTGAAGCTACCTTCTCAGCAAGTCTGAGGCCACTGAGGAAATCAGTCTGATTCCTACTTAATACTCACGTCTCCTTTTTGACCTCTGACAACGCTTTCTGATTTTATTACTAGAGTTATTGATCACACTTGGCTCTGACTGAGTTCTACACATTTCTAAAAATCGTATCCTTTCCCATTAAGGATATTCTAAAGAACATGGAGTTCAGAGGAGTTTGTAATGCTGTGGGACAATGCTCATTTAGGTGTATTCTCTCAGGGATGTTTGTCCAAAACTAGTCACAGTTTGGTCTGACCATCTGGCTTTGTCATAAAGCCGGGCACTTCCAAGACATATGCTATTACCCCCCAAAGTGAGATGTTCTTCCAGGGTCAGTGTGGATCAGGGACCCCAAGAAAATCCCGATGGGAACAAGACCTGGTGCCCCCTGCCCCGTGTCCCGGGGACCTTCCCTTTATCTCTACCCTCATGCCTCTCCAGAGACACCAAACCACACTTGCCTAATTCCGACTGCTTCAGAGGCGAATAAAAGACCACTTACACAACCCGTGAAGTGCAGTAAGTCTGGCCTCCATCTCCCTCTGAGCATTAAGGATCCCCCCACGCCTTGCTGAGTGTCTCCTCCACATTTAATAAGCCATGATCTTGATGATTCTTCTTGGTTCATGACTTTACCCAGGAGTCAGTGCTTTTCTAAGTGGTTGCTAAGGCTCTGACTCTTCTCTAGGGCTAGGGCACGGCTCAGTGGAGAGGCTGATGGAGGCTCTGGAATGTGGGCAGGGTGGCTCCCATCCCTGCTGGCTGCACGGCTGGGTGTTTTGGCCTGAGTTAGCACCTCGCTCCCAGCAGTCTGCCTCGTATCCAGCCTCTCGATCAGCCCCTCCAATCCTCCATCTCCACCCAAAACACTGCCTGGCCTCTGTTGGCCCTGGAAGGTCCTAGCCAGGACCCTCCAAGAATTCCCTGGGTCAGGGTCTGAGCCCAGCCCACCAAACCCATAGAGAGGCTGTTCTCCCATGTAAACTGCCCCAACTTCTAGCCCTGGAGAATTATAAACAACTACCTGCCCCCAACTCTCCTGCCTTGACTCCTCCTTTCCTCCTGAACCCCACCCCAGACATACTCTCTGGGCCCCCAGTCCTGTAAACGGCTCACAGGACTCTCCAGGCTTGGCCCTGCTTCTCTCCAGGCTCACACCACACACACTTCCAACACAGAAGTGCTTACAGCCCTGTACACATCAGGCCGCTTTGAGCCTCTGCTGTTTCTCACACCAGACAGAACTTCCTCTAGACAATTCTGCTCCCCTCCTCTAGGCTAACTCTTTGGAATCCTTAAGACTCATCCCAGGCATAACCTCCTCCCAGAAGCCTGTGTCCTCTCCTCCTTCCCCCAGACAGGTTAGCTGCCCCTTGTCACGGCTCCCAGCCTGAGCCATCATCCATCTGTCATGACACCTGGACTCCTGTCTAACTGTTTATGTGCCTGTCTCCTCTCCTGGCTTATGAGCAGCTCAAAGACAAGGACTGTGTCTCATCCATCTTCGAATCTCCCGTGCTGGTCCAGAGGCCAGCACGTGGCTGGTATTCAATAAATGTTGGTAGCCTGCACAAAGTCACAGGTCAGCATTACATGGTATGCTCAGCTCTATTTCTGAGTTTGTTCACAATGCTATCTAGGTTATGAGACTGCTTTAGACAGTGAGTTTCCCAAAGCATGGGACAGACTTTTCCAGACTTACAAGTCCACCTTAAAAGGTCCAGCTCCATCCAGCAGCAGGTCTGTTTTGAAGGACCAGGTGCCACCCGCTCTCTTTCATACCCTTGCCTAATCCTGATGTCCTGGGTTCCTTCCAGGCCAGCCAGGGGTGGCTCTGGGCCTGCTCTGATTCACTTCCCACGGGCTCTGACAGGAGAATGAAAAGCAGACCGGCAGGCACGAAGGGTTAGACTGGCAAGCACAGCCTCATGTACAATCTGGAGCTCAGAAACCCCCGGGCCTCCATCCACGAGTGTGTGAGGGGAGGGACGTCATCTCCCTCCTCCCCTCTAAGCAGAGGAAATGCCCAGGATGTAGGACAAAAATACCGGGAGGAGCATGGCGGATTCCAAAAGATTCTTTCCATCCCTGACCCTAACAGTAAGGCAGCCCTCACTGGCTTGCAGATTTGAGGACTCAGGCAGGGCAGAAAGTCTGAGCTCATGGGGCTCTGGAATTTAAAGAGCTAGTAACTGGTTAAGCAAGCAACTGGGGTGAGGGGTAGGGCCTGTGGTTCCATCGCTCAGCTGGCCCCAGCACCTTGTAAATGAGAAACTTTGGCTTCTCAACCATGGCTCCACAATGGGCATCTGCCAACGCCGTGATGTTACATGAAAAGTATGACAAGTACAGGCACATGTTTTCTAGTGGAAGAGGTCCCACCTTTCATATTCTCAGAGAGGACTCGGACCAGTTTTAAGCACCACTTTACTGGACTGTATGCTCCTCGAAGGAAGGAATGTGTGTTTTTCCTCACTGAATCCTCAATGCTGACTACAGGGCTTGTTCCAGTAGGTGTGCTATGAATGCATTTTGAACGAAGCCCGGGTGGGGAGGGGGGGCAAAAAGAGGATCAGTGAGGGGCTGGATGGCAAGACTCCCAGACAGGCGAGCCATGAGATACGGGCAACACCAGGCTCTAGCCCTGCCCTCCCCTCCTGGAGTGGAGTCCCAGTGCCCAAGCCCTTGGGTGGCTTGGGCATTTTCCAGCAGGCAGGGTGACTGCTTCTAGAAGAAGCATTTGTAGAAAGGCCCGGAACTCCTCTCCTGATCTCAGAAAAGAACAGACTTCTGCCCTAGAGATTGAAGGGAGAGAAGGAGCTGGTAGGACTGGAGTCTCAGTCCTGGGGGCGAGGCTCAATGAGGATGAGGCACAGCGTTTGTGGAAAGCCCCAGAAAAAGAGCAGCCACCAGAGAACGAAGCCTCTGCATTCCCCAGATACCGATCAGGAACTCTCCCAGGGAGGCCTGCGTGTTAAAGTGAAGCGTAGCTACTCCAGCAGGCATGCTGGGAACCCCAGTCCAGCCACCCGCCCTGCCCACAACCTGCAGAGCAGGCCAAGGAGATGGGAGGTGGGGGCTGGGGCAGCATGCTGGAGCCAGCTCACACAATTGTTAAATTGTTAAATTGTCAGGAATATTGCAAGCCAGTTGACATCATGTGGTAGTCTGAAATCTGCTGTGGTAGAAATCGCAAATGCAGCAAAAAACAGCTTTTTTTTTTTCCTTTTCTGGAGGGCCAACTGTTAAACATTTACCAGAACACCACTGGAGAGAACCCACTTGGACTGGGTCAAATTTGACTGTGGAACGTGACAGCCACCACTGGCAAGGAGAACAGAAGCTGCAGAGGAGTTGGGGACATAACCTGTCCTCCCTGCCAACGTGTGCTCTTTCACTGGTTTCTAATGCCAGGAAACTGGCCTCTTGGGACATCACCGTGGTCTCATCAAACGAGTCTCACTCTGGCCGTGTCAATCCAAACTCCTCTCACCAGTCAGAGGGGCACACACATGGGGGGCAGCCCCACCAGAGGGGCCCTGAGTCAGCACTCAAGTCGGGCATTGCTCACAGCCAGCACCCCCCACCCTCCATGGACACGGCCCCTCCTTCCCCCGGCGCTCCTTTCCCTTTGTGCTCTGAATGTGTCCACACACAGTCCCCGCCCCATCAAACTGCCCATAAATCCTTTGCTATTTCCGGCTCCCAGTCACTGCCAGCTCCCAGCTCCCCAGAGTGGGGCTGCAATTAAGCCGGCCCCACTTGGCCTCCACCGAGAGCCCTTCCTGATTCACAGCCCAGAGGCCAAGCACAGAGAGCCAGGAGCGCACCTACCTGGCTCGGCCTCCTCAGGCCCATCGCACCCTGGGGAAACAGAAACATGTTGCAGCTCTGCTTGCAGAAGGAAGAGGGGTCACCCGGGGGGTGCGGGTGGGCCAGCCTCCCCTGCTCTGCCCTGTGACTTGGCCACACAGGCCTGGAGGATGTCAGGATAGAGACTCCTTCACATTGGACACCCACCATGCCCCAGGCAAGTCCATCTTTGGGAGAGAGGAGAGAAGGTTCTGAACCTTCAGGTGACTCTCCTGTGCCGAGGTCACGACTAGGCCAGGAAAGAACTCTCAGCCTTGCTCCTGCAGGGGTGAGAAAGGCCACGGCCAAGGCCCCCAACCCAGACCAGGGCAGGCTCCAGGAACACAGATGCCATGGAAACACCTTTGACAGTAGGGGCAACCCTCTCAACTGCCCCATCCCTCTCTGAGCCCAGCATTCGGGAGAGATGGAGCTCCCTGCCGCATCTCCATGGCCAGATGCCTTCAGACCCCTCAGCCAGCACCACACTGGGCTCACGGGACATGTGCTACCAGGATCTCTTGCCCACCCCAATGCCTCAGAGCAGGACCATGCTGTCACCCTTGCTTCTAGCTGCCTGGCCTCACCAGTGAGGACAGACAACCATTCGGGGAAAGACAAAGGATCCTACAATTCCAATTTCCTCTTCGAGCAACAGGACCCTAAAGGCAGCCACCAGGTCATCACCAGCCTTGCTACCTCCTCCACTCCTGGAGTGTTCTGGGTCCTGCCTTATGAACAGGAGGTGGGAGCTCACTGAGCTGAGACCCAAAGGGGGCTCTGCACCTGTTCTCAGCCAGGTAGCGCATCTGCCAGGACCCTGATGCTCCAGGGGTCACGTGGCCCCTAACTTCTGGAAGGAGGCTCTGCCATTCCAGACTTCCTTGGATGCAGGGGATCCCAGGAGGGACTGGGACCTCCCTGATCCCCAGTAACTGATGGGGTGGAAAAGCTGACATGCAGGCACAGGGAAGGGAGGTGAATGACCACTTATTCAGGGCCAACTACGTTCTGGCTCCGGGCTAGGCTCTGACATACATTCACTATTATAATCCTCTCAGCAACCCTGTGAGGAAGAAACGAGTTCAGACAGCAGAGCCGGAAATCAAACAGGCTTTCTGACTTCAAAGTCACTAGGCCACAGTGCCTCTCACACACCGTCTGCCAGTGGAGACAATGGGGTCACAGGTCAGGATGTGGTTGCAGGTGAACAGACCAAGAGGCCATCACAATCAAGCCTGTGATTTTAAAGACTGGTACATGTGCTCAGGAGTCCCAGGGTCAGGGGTCAGACCTGCCCCTTTCCCACAGCCCTCCCCCCACCCAGGAGGAGCACAAGGGGCTCTCTTCCTCGTGCCAGGAGTGCAGACTGTGAGGAAAGAGGTGCAATACTGGGTGTGCTCACCTGCCACCTCCACAATCTGGTGCCGGGCGATGTCATAGTAAGGGTCGTCCCACTTCAGGTGTGTGACAGGTTCCGGGGAGCTGCTTTTGGAGTCATCTGAGGAACACAGCAAAATCAGTGGGTCATCTGGGGGCTGGTACAGTGTTCTCCCTGAGAGTCGTGCTCTTTGGTCCTCCCCCTAGTAAGGCTTGTGCTCCCAGCCCCACCCTGGGACTGGTCTGCTTGCCCCCATCCTGCCCTCCTGGGGTCTTCTCCTCTAAGGTGCCTGAGATCTGGCGGTGCCCACCTGACTTGGGAAAGTCGGGCATTTCGTCCGAGGGCCAGTTCTTCTCATCAATGGAGGCTAGCTTCAGCTGATTCAGAGCCTGGCTGGCGTCATCCAGGGTCAGGTCGTCCTGAAGATCTGAGAGTGGGTCCATGGCCATGCCTGTTCCCCACAGCCTCACCCCACAGAACCTGAAGAGAAACCTGGGAAGGGGGGGTGGCAGGTCAATGACCCCCTCTTTTCACCTCTAACTTCTACAGCAAGCCCTCCTGCTCCCACTCGTTCTTACCCCAAGCTCCCTTGTTCCTATTCCTCAACACTTCTCATCCTTGCCAAGAGCTCCATATAGCTCCCGGTCCTCCTGGCTCTACAGTTTTCTGACACGTTGCCAGAGAAGGCAGCTGGGACAGAGGATGGCACAGCTCAGTGCCTGCCTTCGGGTCCTCCAGCTGGATAGCCAAGAGCCGTGCCAGGCCCTGTGCTGCCCACTGCCCAGCTGGTTCAGTCATGCAGTCCCAGCTGCAAAGGGTAGAGGTCCATGTCCCTTTCCACATGGGTCATAGAGCACAGAAGCTTCCCAGGCCCCAGCAGTTAGAAGGTAGAGATGTTGCAAGAATCTTAGGAGCACAGGGATGCTCCAAACCCCATGCCTGAAAAAGGTCAGCTGTGGCCTTGGCCACTCCATCCCTGACCCCTGGCCTAGGGAAGAGGAGGTGGCCAGAGACCACAGGGTCCCAGAAAAAGGCCATGGCCGAGGGGCCCAGCTGGGTTTGCCCCAGGACAGAAAGCAGGAGCAGGGGACGGGATCTGCCTGCCAGTCATAGCAGACAATCTGCAGGCTCCTGGGGGCTCCCAAGCTCACTCTAATCTGTGGGGAGCTCCTGACGCTAGTTTCAAGGTGGGAAACATCAACAGACTGCGCCAAGGATTGGAGGGCACAGATGGGAAAGGGGGCAGCCCATGACATCCAGAGGGCTGAGATAAAAGGAGGTGAAAAACAGAATAGCAGCTACAGCAGGCTGAGAGGGAGAAGAGCCGACTCTGAACCTGGGTTTCCCCAGGTCTGGGGTCTGGCTGTAAGGATGTGACTGCATGCGGCCTGGGGGCAGCACCTTCTGTCCTCAGCCCTAAGGGGAAGCCAATCCCTCTCTCATCACGAGCTCACCATCTGGGTGAGGGAGGGGAGTTTCAATTCAACCCACTCAGTCCAACCGCAGAGAAGAGGCTGCTCTAAGCCCGCTGCATTCCTGAAGCCCAAAAATGACATATATGGTCAGAGAATCAGCAGAACAGATAAGGAGTGCAGACAAGACCCAGGCGTGGGTAGGAAGAAGAGAGGAGAGCTGCCAGCAGAGATCCAGACCCTGAACACCCCTGGGCTCTGAGGCTACATGACAACCTCTTGCACACATCACAGCCCAGCCGAGGACTCTGGATGGTAAACTGGCTCCCTGTGCCTAGCAACAACCACCCTGTTACCACGGCAACCACACTGCTTCCGTGGCAAAAGCTGTTTCAAGCTCCTGAGGCAAAGCCCAGCAGCTGAACAGCCAAAAAAGAATCTTCTTCTTCCCCTTCCTCTCCTTTGGCCTTATCTGCTACTCTTACTCATTCCCGCTGCTTACCACCAAAATATAAGTCCCTTCCCATCAACACAGAGAAAGACGACCCTCTCTTATTTGGGAATGCACTTCTCTCAGGAAGTGCTGCTGAGCCCCTCACCCCAGCTCCCTCCTTCCCCTTCAACCCTCCAGTGCAGGCAACCCTCAGTCTTGAGGAATCCACTCCTGATTCATCTACATGTCCCATTCAACAAGGAGGCTGTGAAGGCTCCCCAAAAGGGGACCCCACTGGGTAAGAGGCACAGAATTCAGCTCAAAGTGACTCTCTCTAGGCCTGAGTCTTCTCTCCGTCTCTTCTCTCTGTCACTGCCCAGGCACCAAGTGCTCCTTCAGCCCTGCCCCTAGCTATCCCAGAGAAGTCTTTCTGCACACAGTGGGCGCTTGATGCAAAGAAAAAGGCATGGGATGAGGTATATGGAGAACTGGATTCTAGTCCTGCCTAACCCAATGAGTTGCAAAGATGCTGGGCGATTCCTCTTCCTATCTGGGCCTAAATTTATTCATCTATAGAAGTGAAGGCTCCTCCCAGAAATAGAATTCTCCAGTGTTCTAAAATACTTGTGCTGAAGTGAACAACAGAATTAGAAGGAGCAACTGGGAGCTGAAGTATATGTGAGGGAGGGAGAGAGATACCCTCTAAAAGGGAGCCGAACTTGAACGCCATCTCTTTTCCAGTAACTCCTCCTCAATTTCATCAGTTCTTCCAGGACTGACCCCTCCCCCGCTCCATGACCTCCTTTTCCAGAATAACTAATCACAGTCGTTCCCACCTCCCCAGACAGACTGGCCTCTCACACCACCCTCCAACCCAGCTGTTGGCCTCTATGAGCCCAGAAGCTTAGCTCCCATTCAGCGGGAGGGTGAGGGAAGCTAGTGTAGGGTAATTCTAACATAAAGTAGTGGAAACGAAGCATCCTGGCTGCCTAAGACTCCAGTCACCTACAAGCCCCGCTCCACTCTGTGCAAAATACTCCTTACTTTGAGATTAATTTTTCCCTTCTCAGTAGGTAAAACGTCTACCTTTACAAAAAGCTTTGAGACTCACGTTAGGCGGAGATTTAACCTTTGGGAAGTCCTGGACCTCTCTGAAATTCTGATGAAATTTGTGGCCTTTTTAACTAAGAGAAATCAGCACAAGCATGAAATCTTGCATGCAATGTTAAGGGGTTCACAGGCCCTCTGAGAATCACTGTTTAGGAACCCTGACCTGCACATATGTATGCTGATGGATGGCAACTAGACTTTTGGTAGTGAACACAATGCAGTCTATACAGAAGCTGAAGTATAATGATGTATACCTGAAATTTACACAATGTTATAAACCAATGTGACCTCAATAAAATAATAAAAACGTGGGAGTCTGGGGGGAAAAAGAACCCCTGAACTAATGAGAATTACATCTGGCACATGGCAGATGTTCAATCATTTGTTGAATGACTGAATGAATTAATTTATCTCCTAAGTCGAGAAGAGAACCAACATTTGTTGAGGGTCTATATAGCACCATCAACTGGACACACAACTTCACAACAGCACCAGTGAGGCACGTACTACTAACCCCATTTTACAGTTCGAGGAAAGTGAGGACCAGAAAAAATAAGCAAATTGCTTAGGGTCATACAGCAGAGTCAAGATTTTAATCCATGTCTGTCTAAGGTGGTCTCTGTGCAAATCAATCCCTCAATAATTCTCTAAGTGACTGTCATTCACGTGATTCTCGAGGTTCAGAGAGGTTCTACAAAAGGGCAAAGTATAGCCTTTCTCCTAATCTCCTCCGTGAAGAACTGAGATAACTCAAACTCGCATTCTCTGGTGTTGGTTGGGATCGCCTTCCTACTTGGGGCTCCAGAATTTCAAAAGCGCAAATCCCAAAATACAACAAGACTTTCAACTACAATCTCGTTTGCATAGAGAGGTTTACAAAACCCGAATGTTGGGCGTAATTACTCCATTTCACAGATTAAGAAATACACATGAAAGCGTGGCCTAATAAGTAGCAGGGTGGAACACTTCCCCCAAATTTCTTGTTCTTTGCGCTTCGCCAGATCAGACCAGGGAGACTTCTTCCCATGGGCTTTCTCTACGACAGCGATGTGACCTGCACTCTGCCCCGGGGGGAGCAGGAGGAAGGCAGCGAAGGAAGTGAAGTTCTCTCACTGCAGACCCGGGAGAGGGGCAGAATCCCCGCAGCGGGAGGGCCAGGTTCTCAGGCCCCATCCCACCCCTGCTCCTTTCCTCGGATCCGCCTAGATCCTCCCCATCCGGACCCCATCCCTTCAGATGACCTGGACAGTCCCCTCTCTTCCCCCACCACACCCAGGGAGACCCCGCGCCCTGCAGCTCACCGTGGTCAGGCACTGCTCCCTCTGCCACGCCTGTCAAAGCTCGGCAAACATCCGGCTCCGCGGTAGAACGGGTACCGCCTACTCTCTGTCTCCTCGCTCCCCAACCACTTCCGCCACACCTCCAACCCACTTCCGACCGGCTGCCAGGTCCAAACATGGCCATTCCAGGATCCCCGCCCACTTCCTTACGTGCCGCGCCCACTTCCTGTACGTGCCCCCCTGAGGAGAGAGACGGCATAACTGTCCGACTCTTCCCTCCTGAGAGGAGACGCTTGGAACACTTTGTTCCGCTTTCCCTGACTCGATTCTCTGGTGGGCCTCCGGAATCCTAGGCTCGTATTGTTCTCGCCCAGAGTTTTGCATCACCAGTATTCCCAAACTCCTGGTCCTGTGCACCAATGAGCTCTGACTCTTACAGTTCTTTCCTGAGAGGAGATTTGGAAGGCAATGGCTGTTTCCGGGAGGAGCTGAGAAGGCGACGCTCACTTCCGGCGGAGGGAGGCTTTCCGACCCGGGATGGAGGAGGCGGAGGGGCAGGTCTCGGAGCCCGAGGGACTGCAGGCGGGTGAGTGACCTGCGATGTCCCCGACCCCCGGCCCTGGCCAGGATACACCTAACGGTCTCTGGTCAGCTCTCTCCCGCCGACCGTTTTCCTCCCGAGCCCGGGATCCTCCTCCGGTGCCTTTAGAGTTTCTGGGCGCTTCTTAAGAGCCCTCGATCCCCTCCAGCCTCTCAGGGGCCGCCCGAGAGCCCTTCCAGATCCCTCAGACTCCTGAGGCCTAGCTGGACCTGCGGTTTCCTCCCGCACCTTTCCCCACCCGCGACCGCTTGGGGACCCTCTCTGTCTTCCTGTCTCCCTGCAGGCCCCGAACCGCGCCTGGGCCCGGCCTCGGGATGGAGCCCTTGCGGAGAAGGCCGTGCCCCCGGCCTCCAAGACTTCCCGCCCGCGCCGCCCCGGGCGGTCCGCGCTCTCAAGAGCCTCCCCCGGGGCTTGGCCCTCGGCCCCTCCTTCGCCAGGGACCGGCGCCTGGGGGTCTGGTGTGTCGGAGAGCCCCTGCAGCCGGGACTGCTCTGGGGGCCGCTGGAAGAGGAGTCCGAGCAGAGGGGCGAGGGAGTGAAACCACGCCAGGAGGAGGTATTGTGGGATAGGGCTTCTCCTCTCCGTGATTGAACATTTGGAAGAGCCTCAGACATTCCCGGACAGTTCTCCCGTTTGTTAAAAGAAGCAGGATATTTCAAGAGATAGGAGGTGGTTTTGTCTCTTCTCTCCAGGACTGCCTTTTCCCTTCGCTTGCAGTAGTTAAGGAATCGAGGTGCAAAAAGTTGCTAAAAGCTGAATTAGTATAATGTTAGCAGTGGTGAAGGTTAAGAGCAAAGGTTTATGGAATTAAAAAGCCATAGGATCAGATCCCAGCCTTGTCACTTAGCTAGTTAAATGGCATGCCTCACTTAACTCATGTAAAATTTTAAAAAATGGCTGTTTCGTTTATTTTACTCCTCCAGAATTATTTGGAGGAACACATGAAATAATGCAGGTAAAGGATTTCATTGCATAATAAGTACTAAAAAAAAGGGTTGATATTCCTCTTACTGCTTTTTCTGTTTAGTATTCACGGGAAGGCAGTAATGTGTTTGACGGAGTAATTCTCCACACTCTTGGGAGGGAGATGAGGAGACAGTCTTTTTGGTTTTTACTGAATGAAAAACCAGACAGTACAGTCCTGTAGGAGCAGAACCAGAAATGATTAACCTTTCAGGGGCTTCATCTTAGATCTCTCTTAGGAGAGGTTTCAAACAGTTTGTTTTTTTTTCCACCTTGGCCCCTCAAACACGTGGGAGAAGAACTCACTGATTTATTTCAGGACGTGTCACTAGGCCCGTGGGGAGACGTGTGTGCTTGTGAGCGGAGTTCAGGCTGGACCAGGTGAGTTACAGGAGAGTATGCGGCGAAGATGCTCCTTTGAGGCTTGCTTTTGTGGCTGGGATGGAACCCGAAGCGGAGTGTAATTCCCTGATCTTTTGGACTGAGTGCTCCAAAGGCCTGGGGTCCTTTAGGGGTTTTCAGGGAGGGCCACTTGAAGAGGGTCTCCTGAGCCAGCTCTTGCTCTGCTTTGCAGTTTGGTGCAGCGGGGCAGGCTGGAGGGTGAGGGAAACGTGGCCCCGGTGTGGATCAGCGAGAGACTCCACCTGCAGGTGTCCCGGGTCGTGCTGCCAGGCTTTGAGCTGCTGCTGCGGCCCCCGCCTCCCTCTGAGGGCCTGAGGCCTGCCCAGCCCAGGCTAGAAGAAGAGGCAGCGGTGGCTGTGGTGACAGAAGTGGAGTCTGCTACACAACAGGAAGTGGCCTCGCCTGGGGAGAATGCTACAGAACTTTGCACAGGTATGTGTCGGATAAATGCTGGCCTCCCAGATTACTACCAAACCTGTTGATAAGACAAAGCAGAGCGTATGGCTCAAGAAGGTAAGGGAGAACCCTATAGAGTCTTAGTAGATTTTCTGAGGGGGAAGGGCAAAGCCTGGATATTTATGGAAATTTTGAAGTCTAGTATAAGGTGGATTTTTCAGTGTGGGATGGGGGCAGGACTTGATTAGGATTGGGTAAGGATCATGACATACTAGTTTAGGATTCATGGACACAGCAAGGCTCAAATTTTCAGGCAAGAGGTTCAGAGAGTCTTGAGGTGTAAACTGTCATTTGATGCTTTTTATTGAAGATTGATGGGTCTTTTCCTTAGAATGAACAATATACATGTTGGCAACTTTTATCTTCCTGAGCAAATTTACTTGAATAGTAAGGTTTTGTTGATGAACACAGCAAGTTATATATAAGGTTTCCAGTTTCTTTTTCTATTATTATTATTTTGTTTTATTGAGGTTACGTTGGTTTATAACATATAAATTTCAGGTTTACATCATTATATTTTGACTTCTTTATAGACTCCCCTTTCCCCTCTGGTAACCACCAATCTGTTTTCCATATCTATGTGTTTGTTTCTCTTCCCCATATGAGTGAAATCATACAGTATTTGTTTTTCTCCACCTGACTTATATCACTTAGCATAATACCCTCAGGGTCCATCCATGTTGTTGAAAATGGCATGATTTTGTCTTTTTTAATGGCTGAGAGTATTCCATTGTATATGTATACGCTACATTTTTTTTATCCATTCATCCATTGGTGGGCACTTGGGTTGCTTCCAAGTCTTGGCTATTGTAAGTAATGCTGCAGTGAACATTACGAGTTGACGTATCTTTTTGAATTAGTGTTTTCGTATTCCTTGGATAAATACCTAGAAGTGGAATAGCTGGATCATATGTTATTTCTATTTTTAATTTTCGAGGGAAGCTCCATACTGTTTCCCTAGTGGCTGCACCAGTTTGCATTCCCACCAACAGTGTATGAGGGTTCTCTTTTCTCCACATTCTCTCCAACACTTGTTATTTCTTGTCTTTTAATAATAGCCATTCTGACAGGTGTGAGGTTTCCAATTTCTTATGTTTCTTCTCTCTGGGGTAGGGAGGGGGGTTCCTTTATTTTAAAGATGAGCTAAGGAGAGGAGGTGGTGGTCTGCACTCATTCTAAGTGCCTGTCTCCAGAGAGAGAACAGGGGGGTCTCAGGGATGGCCTTGCTTTAGGGATTATCCAGATGTATGGGGGCACTGTGGTGCCCAGGAGTGCTTCCCCAGGAGGCACCTGAGACTGGACAGGAAGATAAACAGAGTGTGTGGCTCATGCTCCAGAGAAGAGATTGGTGTCATTGCTCCCACTGAAGTTCAGGGGCTGCGTAGGAGAAGACACATATTCCTATAACTTCCTGGTGACACCACCATCACCACCTGCTACAAGCTCTACTGACCCCAGCACCCCACTCTTGCCTTGCAGATCCTGGTCGCCAGTCACCCCTCAGCATCCAGGCAGAGAGTATGGTAAGCCCTGGACTTAAGGTCCAAACCCAGGAACTTTTGAATGAGAGCCAACCCCTTGGCCCATTGCTTCAGGATGGCAGCATGGACGTGGAGGACCCGCCCCAGACACAGATGCCACCTGAACATCAAAGCAGCTTCGCTACCCAGAGAGTCCCAGAGGGCAGTGAGGCCAGTTCCCCATTTTCTGCCAGGGGCGCCCAGCTGCATGCTTTCCTGGTCAAGAAGTTACGTAGTCCCAGTGATCAGTGCCTACCCAGAGCAAAGACCTCAGAGCCCGGGGCCCAGCAGGCTGGAGAACACCAGTGCCCCAGCTTCCCTGCACACTTGCGGAGCCCTCCTGGCCCGACAGGAAGCTCTCCGAAACAGGGTCGACGGTACCGGTGTGGGGAGTGTGGCAAGGCGTTCCTACAGCTGTGCCACCTGAAGAAGCACACATTCGTGCACACGGGCCACAAGCCCTTCCTCTGCACTGAGTGTGGCAAGAGCTATAGCTCAGAGGAGAGCTTCAAAGCCCACCTCCTGGGCCACCGCGGGGTGAGGCCCTTCCCCTGCCCACAGTGTGACAAGGCCTATGGCACCCGGCGGGACCTCAAAGAGCACCAGGTGGTTCATTCAGGTGCCCGGCCCTTTGCATGTGACCAGTGTGGCAAGGCCTTTGCCCGCCGGCCCTCCCTGCGGCTGCATCGCAAGACCCACCAGGTGCCAGCTGCCCCCGCCCCATGCCCCTGCCCTGTGTGTGGGCGGCTGCTGGCCAACCAGGGCTCCCTTCGGAACCACATGAGGCTCCACACGGGGGAAAAGCCCTTCCTATGTCCACACTGTGGCCGGGCGTTCCGCCAGCGGGGCAACCTGCGCGGGCACTTGCGGCTGCACACAGGGGAGCGCCCATACCGCTGCCCGCACTGTGCTGACACCTTCCCCCAGCTGCCTGAGCTGCGGCGCCATCTCATCTCCCACACCGGGGAGGCCCACTTGTGCCCCGTGTGTGGGAAGGCTCTCCGAGACCCACATACGCTGCGTGCTCATGAGCGCCTGCACTCGGGGGAGAGGCCCTTCCCGTGCCCCCAGTGTGGCCGTGCTTACACGCTGGCTACCAAGCTGAGACGCCACCTCAAATCCCACCTCGCCGACAAACCCTACCGCTGCCCGACCTGTGGCATGGGCTACAACTTACCCCAAAGCCTCAAGCGGCACCAGCTCAGTCACCAGCCTGGGGGATCCTCCAGCCCAGCCTGTGTGCCTTCTGCTGCTTCTGAGCCCACTGTGGTGCTCCTGCAGACTGAGCCGGAACTGCTGGATACATGCAGTGAACGGGACGTCTCTGCAGCCCCAGGCGTCTTTGAGGTCACCATTTCCGAGAGCCAGGATAAGTGCTTTGTGGTGCCAGAGGAGCCAGGCCCCACCCCCAGCCTGGTGCTCATCCATAAGGACATGGGCTTTAGCTCCTGGGCAGAAGTGGTGGAGGTGGAGACGGGCACCTGACAGCCTCGCCCTCCCCCAACAGAGCTCTATATAAAGACTAGTGTGTTCTAGCTGCTAGGTGTCTGGATCTTCTTTCTCTTAGGGTTGGCTGGTAGAGACTAGAGTCTACTATAAGGAGCAGGTCAAGGACTTCCCTTCCTGCTAATGGACCACCAGATTGTTTCCCAAGACTGTAAGGTAAACCCCGTCTAGATTTGAGATCTTTTTACCAACTTCTGGTAGAGCTTGTTCTGCCTCCTTCGCTGGGAACTGCTCAAGGTGCTTGTTCTGTAGACCTTGTGCAGTGACCCCGCCCAGGGAGGTAGTCGGGTAGCTGGCAGCACTCCTGCCCTGCCGGGGTGCTTGGTGCTGGGAGAGTCACTCCCTGAGGGACAAGCACTTCTACTTGGAACCAGCTGAATGACTTCTGAGGGTTAAAAGGCCAGAGGCTGAGATCAGCTCACAGCTCATGAGTCTCTGTAATGCAGGCTGTGGTTATCGTGGCAGCTTTTCTCACCACCTGAGGGCTGTGAAGTTGGTTTTCGTGCTGTACTGAAGGACGCCAGACTCGCTGGAGGTGGCTAGGGCCAGATCTATACCCTTCTGTGTACCTGGCCAGAGGCAGCCCTGTTGAGGGAAGGAGTGAGGAATTAACACGTGTTCTGCATCTGCTGTGGGCCTGGACTGCCCTAGGTGCTGGGGACGCAGCTGTGAACAAGACAGAGGCAGTGCCCTTTACAGACCTCATGATCTACGGGGCAGACGTGCTGGATGACTTCACAGAGAAGCACGACCCTGTGCTGTGGACGTGTTTAATGGGATGGTTTAACTTGGTCTATGGCATCAGGGAAGGTGTCCCCAAGGAATAACAATGATAATAAACCCTCAGCCCTTATTGTGGGCCAGTCTTTTATGTGAGTTTATTTATATAATCCCCATAGCAACCCTGTGACGTAGGTAGCGTTATTCTTATTTTACAGATGTGGAAAGAGGAACAAAGAGCTTTAAGTATCCTGCCCCAGGTGACAAAGCTACTAGGTGGCAGAGCTGAGATTCAAACCCATGTAGTCTGGTGCTGGAGTCAGGCTCTTAACCTCTGCACTCCACTGTCCCTTGCTTCAGCTGCAACCTGGATGCATTGATGTGAGAGCAGGTGGGGCGTGGGGAGCTGCTTGTGAAAAAGCCCTGTGGTGAGAGCCTGGTGGGTGTGAGCAACTGAGACCAGCATGACTAGAGCAAAAGGAAGGGGACAGGGGCAGGGCCAGGTCACACAGGCCTTCTTCATGAGTTTGGGCTTTATTTTCAGGACATCAAGAAGCTCTTGGAGGAGTTTTGAGCAGGGGCGTGACATGATCAGGTTTCTGTATGAAGAGACCACTGGAGAATGGATTGGGGGGCGAGATGCAGTTGTGGGGAAATCCATGAGGAGGCTGCTGAGGTGGCTGGGAATGGAGTGATAGCAGTGGAAATGCAGAGAAATGGAATCACTGATCCAACAAATACTGAGTGCTTCCTGTGTGCTGATTGTTAGGGATGTAACAGTAATAACAGTCTCTGTAGTAGTTAAATTCTTATGTAGTTAAATTCTAGTGTGGGAAGACAGACAGTAAACAGATAGATGTCAAGATGATGGTAAATGTGATAAAACTAATGCGAGGGAGAGATTAAAATGGGGAGTGTGATTTTACAGAGGGCAGTCAGGGAAGGCCTCATAACGACCTGAACTACGGAGGGGAGTGAGCCAGGTTGATGTCTGTGGAAGGAGCTGGACTCCCAGCAGAAGGAACAGGACCGGCAAAGCCCAGCGAGTTCACGGAAGAAAAGGAGCAGAGTGGCCAGGGCAGAGCGTGGAAGGAGGTGAGGGCAGGGCGGGGGCTGTGGGCCGGATAAGGACTTTGGGTGGATACGTTCTCTGGGAGGTGTAAGTGACAGAGTTCAGAGGCTGAGTGAATAGGGAGAGATCCGACTCATGCCTTCCGACTTAGCAAGTGTGGTAGCATTGGGGTGGGAGCAGGGCAGTTATGATTTTGGTTGGGGATGGATTGAGTTTGAAGTGCCTGTGGGAGAGAGCTCAAGAAAGCAGTCAGAAATAGTCACAACCTGGGGAGAAAAGCCTGGCTTAGAGGGAGAGTCACTGGAGGTGCTAGTAACTAGGTGGTCACTGAAGCTGTGGGAGTGGGGAGATGACAAGAGGGGAGGAGGCCAGGACCAAGGCCCTGCGTAGGTTCACTGAGAGGAGGAAGGCTCCTTAGGGGAGACTAAAGGAACGTCCGACGGAATAGGCAAATCTGCAGAGTGTCTCACAGAAGCTGATGGAAGCGCATTTTGACATGAAGAGGTGGCAACAATGTCCATTGCTATCGAGTGGGTTGAAATTTGTGGAAGTCACTGGCGAGCTGAAGGAGAGCAGTTGGAAGCCAGACTGGATTGCTTTGAGGAGAGGGAGGCAAGAGAGACAGGAAGAACATATATTGTTCATCCTTCTGTCCTGCAAGATAGGTGTTGTGATCTCTGCCTCACAGATGAGGAAACTAAGGTTCAGAGCGGGTAAGTAACTGACCGAGACCACACAATCGGTAAACAGCAGAGCCAGGATGGAAATGTGATGTGTTTTCTGGCTACCCAGCACTTGATCCCAATGTCATAAACAGCCCCACGTCTCCCACATTGCCACTGACATTAACCCAGCTGCCTACCCAATCTGAATAACTCCTTGGCAAATTCTGAAATTGTCTGAGGGGAGGGAGGACAGCAGGAAATCATGGCGATCTATGAAGAGAAAGGCCACACCATCCAGTGCCTGAAAAACAGCTGCTAATATTAGTTTTCAGTCAGCCTGTTTCTTGGAGCCTGGATGAAGCTCAGTAGGTCCTATTCTTTTCCAGCTCCTGCTTCAGGCAGGGTTATTTCAGCTCAGATGACTGCTCAGCAGTGTCTGCCCAGCGTTGTTAGGTATCCTGGGACATACTCTGCTTGAGATCGAACTGTGCAGGGAAGTGGGGAAGCTTTGGATTGCTGGGGAAGCCTGTCGACACCCCACAACTGTCCTCAGGCCAAAACCTGGGATGCTCACACCATGTTACCACATCCCCCACACAGAAGGACAACTTTCCTCCCCGTTAAGGCTGTCCCTGGTGATGAGAGCAGGGTCAGATCACAGCCAACAAATTCAAAGGCACCTGGTTTGGGAGCCTCTGCTCTGCCAGCACTCATGACTCAAGTGAGAATGGGCATCAGAGGGGATTGTCCAAGCTCTCGTTACAGATGAGAAAACGGAGGCCTAGAGAAAAGGCACTCGCCAGGGCATGAGACTTGGTTTTGTAACTCGTGTGTCTGTGTGTGTGAGGCGATCAGCCCTGTGCTAACATCTGCCAATCCTCCTCTTTATTTTTTTGCTAAGGAAGACTGGCCCTGGACTAACATCCGTGCCCATCTTCCTCCGCTTTATATGGGATGCCGCCACAGCATGGCTTGCCAAGCAGTGCATTAGTGCGTGCCCGGGATCTGAACCGGCAAACCTCGGGCTGCCGCAGCTGAGCGTGCACACCCAACTGCTTGCACCACCAGGCCAGCGCCAGGTCTTGTAACTCTTAATTTCATGCTCTTCCAATTAAAATAAAATGCAATGACTGTTCTTGGAAAGACTGGCCACTGGAATATTTTTTTCATTGAGAAAATATTTTCCCCCTTATTTGAGAATCTTGTTCATCGTAATGTTGAAAGTCCCCTTATTCCCATCGTTTCCTCCATCCCCTGATCAAGTCACTTTCGACAGTTGGGTGTATTGGGTACTGAATCTGAGTGCTGCTGCTTGCTCTAGGGCTCGGGTGCCGTGAAAGCGTTGCCAGGCGCCTTTTCACGGATGCAAGTTTAACCTCGCGACGTCGATAGCCGCTGACCCAGACATCAGAGAGCGCGGGCGATAGAGGATCATTTGCCCTGATTTGCAACTTTCACAGTCTGAGAAAATCTTACAGTAGAATAAAATTGGAATCACGTGTAGTGACCTTTGAACAAGGCAAAGCGTCATGGACTGTGAAGAGCACATCTCCGGGTTCGGGTGTGGGTCGTGACCCTGCCCTTGACTAGCTGCAAGAACTCAGGCAAGTTACTTAGCTTCCTTGTGCCTCAGTTTCCTCATGCATAAAATGGGAATAAATATATACCTGTCTCATCAGTGCTGTGTACCTGGCATGTGAACAATTATTGAATTGGAGCTGGTTGTTAATAGTATTGTAATCCACCCAAGATTAAGGTATGTACGTGTTTCCTATAGGTTTTGCTTGTTTGGGGCAGGCCAGCTTCACTTACACAATAGATATGTACTTGGCTGCATGTCCTCTGGGTACACTTGATAGTACAGCGAGGCTGTACTCTACTGGAACGTCAGGGGACAAGGGTCATGGGAGGAGAAGAGCGATGGCCTGAGGGAGGAGTGTGGGTCCTGGTCCTGGCTTTACCACCGATTCTCTGTGGGGCCTTGATTGATTAGCTTCCCCACGCAGATCCCTCCATCTCCTCGCAGTGACATGGGGAAATTGGGCCACATCAGTGGTTCCCGATCTCTGCTCCACCCTGGATCCCTTTTGCTAACATTATTTCTTCTATGGATCCCATATTTTAAAAGATTTCTATTGAGTAGAAACAGACTTACTCATATTTTTTTATCAAAATAGAAAACTGCTGATCATGTAGAGAAAAACAAGGTAATTAACCATCTGAAGAGAGATAGTTTTAGTCAAAAGGAAAAACATTATTTTTGTCTTATGGTAAATTTACAATTTTTGAGGGTTTTTTTAATATGCAAAAAGGTAAGACCACCCTGTAGTACATGCACAGAGCCCCAGGCTTTGAAGTGTCCAGATTTAACAATATTTGATCTTGCTTCCACCTCTGAAATTCTCGCTTAGAAGATAATTTTACTGTTTTCAGTGATTATAGAGCTTTGCTTTACAGCGTAGCATTGGTCTTGCCCACGATTTTGTTTGATGCCAGCTTGTTGGGCAGAAATGCAACCCCTCAATATGGCCTTGTTCTTAGAGGCAAATATGATCTGCTTTAAGTGTGCAGGTACGTGTTTGTGGTGAGAAGCAGGAATGACAGGCTTAGCTGCATGATACTCACTGGGCCCAGAGAGTTCCAAGGAGAACAGTTCTTGGAGGCTGGGGCTCTCCTGGTGGACCCTGAAGACTAGGGGTGTGCCGGGTCCATTGGATTTCTGTACCCGTGGTGGTGCCACCCTGGTCTGGCAGAACTTTTGGATCCTTCCAGAGCCACTCACAAAGGGGATGCTCTCCCTAGATCTCTGCAAAGTAGAGAGGGTGGGTGTGGTCTTCTGTTCACCCAAGAACGTGTGAAGGCTGTCTAACTAGAATCCACTTACTACTAGCCTCCATTTATTAAGGAATTAAGTTTACTTTTCATTGTGAAATTTTTCAAACACAAAAAATTAAAAGGGATAATATAACAATCCCCTAGTCACCTAGATTTAATGATTGTTAGCATTTTGCCGTGCTTGTTTCATCTGTTTGTTGTAAGTTCTTCAGTATAATCTATAACTCATAAGTTATATAAAACTATAACTTATATAAAAAATATAACCATGTGTCATATAATACTTATCAAATGAACAATAATTCTTTCCTTTGAATGAGAACCTAATCTATATTTAAATTTTCTTGCTTGTCCAAAAAGAGTCTTTTTACAATTGATTTGTTCGAAAGTCTAAACCAATCATGGTAATTCTGTTTCCCTGGTGCATTTGGTTGTTAGTTCTCTCTTAGGTTTCTATTATTCTGGACAGTCTTTCCCACCCACCCCTTTTATTCTATGTCATGAATTTGTCAGAGAAACTGGGGTCATTTGTCCTGAAAAATGTTGCTCATTCCTTGTGGTGTCTAACTTATTCCTTTATCATCTGTATTTCCTGCAGACTAGTAATTAAAGTTAGAGGCTGAGAGGCCGGCCCAGTGGCATAGTGGTTAAGTTCGTGCGCTCCACTTCCATGGCCTGGGGTTCACAGGTTCAGATCCCGGGCACGGACCTACACACCGCTCATCAAGCCATGCTGTGGTGACGTCCCACATACAAAATAGAGGAAGATTGGCACAGCTGTTAGTTCAGCAACAGTCTTCCTCAGGCAAAAAGAGGAAGATTGGCAGCAGATGTTAGCTCAGGGCCACTCTTCCTCACCAAAATAAATAAAGTTAGAGGTTGATTAGATCCAGATTCATTATTTTAGGAAAAACTCTTTATAGGCAGCATTGTGTGTTGCCTGTTGCAAAATAGCATATAACTGCTGTTTACTGAGTGCTTACTATGTGGCAGGCATTGTGATACTTGACGAACATTATAGTATGTTCTGAGGGTAGTTTCGTTTTTGTTTCACAACGATAAACTTAACTCTGAATCCAACTAGACCTGAAGGGAGACGAGATATATGAAATACAAGAACTGCAGCAGGAGAGAACACAGAGGTTACAGGGTGTGAGAGCTGGGGGCGCTGTCCTCAGGGGCAAAAGGAGTGGTTGGGTATAAGATAAACACAAGAGCAAGTTCGTCAGAAGGGCCCAGAGTCTTCTGACTGGTCTTGCCATTCCTGGACCCAGCATGCCCCGTGGCTTCCACAATATTCATGCCATCTCTCTCCTTGCCAGAGAGCCAGTGCTTGCCATCCAGCCCGTCAGTCTTAACCGTGTGGATGACAAACTGGGGACCAGTTGGGTTGGCTCCAGCATTTGCCGTGGACAAGATGTCAGGACCATATTCAAAATGAATTTCTCATCAGCAAAGTTCTCCCCCTGCCAGTACTATTGTGGTGTGTAAATTCATCACCTGACACATAAATCCAGGAGTAAGTCTGGGAAAGCAGGAACCCGTATAACCAAATCTCGTCTTCTCTGTGTTCAGAGAACTGAAGTTTTCTGCTTTGGAACGTTGTCTGCAAACAGCTTGAGGAAGACATAGCCCAAGACTTGCTCGTTAACAGCCATGTCTGCGCATGAGCATGCCCTGGACTCAGCAAGGCTGCGGCTCCGAATAAGAGTCTGCAGTGAGGCCAGAATGATTTAAGTTTTTCAACAACAGCCATGTGAGCTGAATATTGTTAACATTCTGATTTCACAGATGGTGAAACCCAGGACTGGCCTCCCCAGCCAGTGCTCTTTCATGCTGTGGTGCTTGTCTGTCATGACTGGGGGGTCCTGACAGCGGGGGAACAGGGAGCAGTCAGCAGGCCCCTTGTTCCTCAGTAGAAGAGGTGCCGTGTGTTAGGTGATCTCTCCTCCTGCCGACACCCCCTCCTCTCGCCTCTTCTCCCTTTCCAGGTTGAGTCAGCACTGGCCCAACCTGGTCCCCAGGAAAGGGAGGATCACCTGCCTCGAGGCAGGAAGGATGAGGCCACACCTCTCTTCTCTCCCCTTCTCAGGAGCCCTACCCCCTTCCCTTACTCAAGATGTAATTTTTTAAGAAATTAGTGAGGTGATGGGCCGGCCCCGTGGCTTGGTGGTTAAGTGAGCGCGCTCCACTGCTGGCGACCCGGGTTCGGATCCCGGGCGCGCACCGACGCGCTGCTTGTCCGGCCATGCTGAGGCCGCGTCCCACATACAGCAACTAGAAGGATGTGCAGCTATGACACACAACTATCTACTGGGGCTTTGGGGGGAAAAAAAAAAAAAAAAAAATCTTTAAAAAAAAAAAAAAAAAAAGAGTAAGGTGAGATCTTTGTACCATTCCACTCCCTTCCCTCCCCAAAAAAAGAGTAGGCTCAGTGTCATTAGTCAACAGGGAATACAAATTAAAACCACAGTGAGACACACCTGCACATCCATCAGGATGGTTGATGTGAAATGGATGGACGATATAGAGGGCTGGGGGGGACGTGAGCAACCGGGACTCTCCAACATGGCTGGTGGGAGCGTAAACTAGTAGAGCCACTTGGGACAACTGTTTGTCTCAGCGACTTCAGCAAAACATGCCTGCCTTATGACCCAGCAAATCCTGGGCGTGTAACCCAACAGAAATAAGTGCTCATCTACACCCAGAGACTTGTGCACGAATATTCATAGCAACGTTACTCATTATAGCCCAAACTGGAAACTAATCCAAATGCCCGTCAACAGGTGGATGGATAAAGAAAATGTGCTCCATTCATGCCGTGAGACACTACGCAGCTTCAAAGGAACATAACATGGATGAATCTCAGCAACATGCTGAGCGAGAGAAGCCAGACACAAACAGGTATATGCTGTAGGTTTCCATTTATATGAAGTTCAGAAGTAGGCAAAACTATCTGTAGTTAGCATAGCGGTTATCCTAGGGCCTATTGGGGCTGGAAATGTTCTCTCTCGTGATCTGGTGGTGGTTACATGGGTGTATGCATAAAAATTTGAGTTAAACACTTAGGATTTGTTTTAACATTATTGTATATAAATTAAACCTCAATTAAAAAATATATATATAGAAAAATAGGAATATATAATATAAATATAAATATATGTAAGTATAGGAACTGGGCCACCCAGGAATTAAGCTGATTCTTGGTCCCCCGTTCTCTGCCAGCCTTCTCTCTTCCCTGCTCTGCACCAGGCCCCTCCCTGCGATCTCAGACTGTACACGACCGCAGTCCAGATGCCGAACGGCCAGGCCTAAAGGACGGCGAGGCAAGAGCCTGCGCTCCCTGTGTTCCTGTTCTTTGTCCCTCTGTCCTAACTAGACTAGGACTAATATTTACCTTGCGTCCTGTAAACAGGAAGTGGAGGAGGGACGGGAGCCGGGCTGGCTGAGGGCAGTGTAAGACAGCAGCCTCTCTAGGCCCGGCCCAGGGCAGACAGGTGCAGGGAAAGGGGGTCCCTGCCGTGGAGACCCAGGGATTTGGGCTGCCCCTGTTCTGGGGAGGGCAGCAGTCCTGGGATGACCAGAGGCCCAGGAAGCCCTGGACCTGGTTCCTCCTCCCGGGGAACACTACACACAAACACACCTCCACAGCTTCCCGGATGGGAAAGAGGGGAAATGGGACCCTCCGTCAGGGGCTGAGAGGCTGGGGTAAATGTTGGCTGTCCCTGCCCCCAGTGTGTCATTGGGCAAGGTGGGCAGCTCTAATCTGGCGATGCCCTTGTCTCTATTCTCTTCTATCTATGTGTTATGATTACACGAACCTCCCGGTTGGTTTATATCCGTGTATCTTCTGATTATTAAGCCCTCACTGTGTTTCATGGGCTTTACATTCCTAATCTCCTCTAGTCCTCATAGCAAAGTACTATTCCCACTGTACAGATGAGGAAACTGAGGCACACAGAGATTAAAGCAACCATCATCATGTGTTGGAATTGGAAGGGGCCTTAGGAACTGGTCCAAGTTGACCCATGTCTTAGGGAAGGAGGGGCAGGACGATAGTAGTTACACTGATTTTCCTTTGTGACTTCCTCCCAGACCATCCATCCCTGGTCGCAGGAGGACCTGTACCCCCAGATGGTGGGGGTGGACTATCTATCCACTTGTCCCCACGGCCCTGACCTGCTGACCTCTGCCTCTAGGCTGATTTCTTCATGTTAGTTCAACATTAACCCAGAGGGGTCAGGACGAACTCTCAGAGTCCCAGCAGCCCACACACTATGGCGCACGTCCGAGGCCTGTGGCTACCTGGCTGCCTGGCTCTGGCTGCCCTGTTTAGCCTTGTGCACAGCCAGCATGGTAAGGGGGCTCGGAATCCCGCACAGACTGACAGACCGGGATTCCACCCGTGGAGGACACAGGGCCGGCCCCTAGATGGGTCAGCCCAAGGTATCTAGCTTAGGGAAGGAGCCGGGTGCTCAGGGCCGGACAGACAGTGACCGCTTCCCTCTTACAATTGGGGAGTGGGCTGGGGGTGACCAGTGAGTGGAGGGGAGCTAGTGGGCTACCCTTAGCAGCTTCCTGAGTCCTGCTGCCATCCTAGACATCCCCTTTCAGAAGCCAGCAGGGCAGGCCAGGCTTGCTTCCTGCCCCCACGGTGGCCAAGATGGCCTGACCCCCTGAGGCCACTGTCCCACACCCCTCCTACTGCAGTGTTCCTGGCCCCTCAGCAAGCACTGTCGCTGCTCCAGCGGGTCCGACGCGCCAACAGTGGCTTCCTGGAGGAGGTGCGCAAGGGCAACCTGGAGCGGGAGTGCATAGAGGAGCAGTGCAGCCGCGAGGAGGCCTCAGAGGCCCTGGAGTCCTCCAGCGCCACGGTGAGGCTGGGCTGCTCGGAGGGAGGCCGGGGCTCCCCCGATGTGGGCCCACCTCTAGGGCCACAGATGAGAGGAGCCAACATCACAGCTCCTAAACTGTTGACAACTTGATTTCGTCTCTGAGCCCCATTTCACTGGGCTGCCAAGATGAGCAACGTCAGCCTTTCTTGGGGGGACCCAGTGCCTGGGCTGTGTCAAGGTCCCAGGGACCAATGAGGCTCCAGGACGTCACGGGGCCTCCTCAGTCTTCAGACATCTGTCTACACTGGGGTCCCTGGGGCCCCTGGCCCACTTGGCCTCTCGGCCTCAGCTTTTCTGATACTCCTGTGCCGCCTGTGGGAGGTGGGAGTGTGGTAGGCTGGGAGCCCTGGGCCAAGACCTTAGCGTTCCGCGGACCCTGTGCAGCCTTTCCCTTCCACGGGGCTCTGCCTGGGCCCCACACTCCCCTCTCCGCCAGTCTTCCGCACCCAGGGGAATCCCTGTCCGTCTTGGTTGAGGGAGCCCCCCACTCTTCAAATACTCTTCTGAGCGAGCTGGGTTTTTGGAGCAAAAGTAGGAAACTGTGCCACAAACGTCCCCAGAGCCTGCCCCCTGCGTGACCGGGGTAAGGAAAAGAGGGAAGAATAAGGAGGAGACATAACGTTTACTAAACAACAAAACCAAACGGGATCCTGCCACAGCCTCATGCCAGCCCTTGTTTTTCAGGATGCGTTCTGGACCAAGTACACAGGTGAGCCCTGGGAAGGGTGTGCTCCAGGAATCCTGGGGACCCCAGTTAGAGAATCTTCTGGTCTGTCCTATCACTCACCTATCCACCCAATCTCTTTTCCTCCTTCCTTCCATGCATCTATCCTACTCTGTTTCTGAATGTCGTCCCACCCTCCTTTTACTCAAGCCCATCCTGTCCCTACCACAATCCCAAAGGTGTTTCTGGGTCTTTTCCAGCTTGTGAGTCGGTGAGGATACCTCGAGAAGATCTCGTTGAATGTCTGGAAGGTGAGGAACTGGCATGAGGGTGGGGGCCAGGATATGAGAGGGGCAGTCTGGGAGAAGAGCAGAGTAGGGGTGGGTTAGGGGCTGTGGCCCAGCAGCGGTGGCCCCTAGCATCTGACATTGCCTTGCTGTTCCTGCCCTCGAGGTTGTGTCTTTGCCCCTGGCTCTGTACCTGGTGGTCACTAAGATGATTAATGTTGAAGGAAGAAGTAAATGGATAATGAATTAACATTAAGGCCTCATTCTCATGAGCTCCTGCCCACGCCAGTTAGTCTTCCCCATGCCCCCAGGGCAGAGCTCCCATGACATCACTTTCGTTCTCCAAAACCTTGAGTGGCTCCCCATTGCCCCCAGAATAAAGCACAGGCTGCTTAGGCTGGTGAACTTGGCAGCCTAACCTTAACCTCCCCTTCTAGCCTTCCCTCCTGTTGCACCAACCATGAACGCAGAGCCCGAGCTACTCTGACAGCCAGCATTTCTCTAAACATGCCAAGATGTTTCAACTGCCTGGCCCTTGCTTAATTTGTCATCATCCCCTTAAGCAACCATCACCACTTACTGAAAACCTCCCTATCCTGCACGGACTAGTTCAAATGCCACCACCTTGCTGAGCCTTCAGGGAGCCCCCTCCCTCCTCCACAGCGTCCTGAACACACCTTTAGTATGACAACAGGCCCCACTACAGGCAACTCGTTGATCACTGGCCATACTTTCACTTGTTAAATAACTTATTCAATAGACATTTCACTAAGTCCCTGCTATGTGCCAGGCACTGTGTCAAGTTCTGGGGGTTTAAGAGAATCAAGGAGCTCACAATCTCATAGGAAAACAAAATGACAAAACATCAAAGTGATGGCTGGCAAAGTTCTGTTCCAGGGGCCAAGAGAGTGCCAGGAGGAGGGGCGTTTAGTTTGCTGGCAGGATCAGGGACAGCTGCCCAGAAGAAGTAGAGTTTTACCTGGATTTGTGGGATGTGCTGATGAATAAACAGGAGAGCATTCCAGGCAAAGGAAACAGCATGTGCAAAGGGCCTGGAGGAGGAGGAGGCATGAGGAGCTAAGAGAACAGGACGGGTAGACCAGGGACGGATTAGAAGGAGCTTGTTCATTTTATCATCCTGCTCGCCATGAGGAGCCACTGAATATAAGCTCCATGAGGGCAGGGACCTATGACTGTCTTATTGACTGTGACTGTCTTATTCATTGTTGTGTCCTTAGTACCTGGCACAGTGTCTGTCACATGGTGGACACTCAGTGAACATTTAGTGACTACTGTTAAATGGACTGGGGAACTGCTGGGTGCAGAGGAGGTGCCGAGTAAGTGCAGGTTAAGGGTCATGGACCAGAGGGAGCTTGGAGGGGGTGCACAGACAGAGCTTTGCTAGGAGAGAGGGACAAATCCTAGGGGGAGTTGCTAGTGGGGGAAAATTCTCAGGGTAAGAGATCTGGGCCGGGATCTCTGCAGGTAACTGTGCTGAAGGTCTGGGTGTGAACTACCGAGGGAACGTGAGCTTCACCCGGTCAGGCATCGAGTGCCAGCTGTGGAGGAGTCGCTACCCACATAAGCCTGAGTGAGTGATGGCAGACCTATCTGATAGTGGGCTGAGAATGGGGGCAAGGAGACACTGAGGGGCCAGGGTCTCCTGCTGAGCAATTTCCTATTCCAGAATCAACTCCACCACACACCCTGAGGCCGAACTGCAGGAGAATTTCTGCCGCAACCCAGATGGCAGCACCACGGGGCCCTGGTGCTACACCACAGACCCCACCGTGCGGAGGGAAGAGTGCAGCGTCCCTGTGTGTGGTGAGCTGGGGGCGACTAGGCAGTCTGTGGCCAAGGCCCAGCCAGGGGTCTTCATGGGGCCTGGCAGCCTGGGACGGAAACCAAGATCCTGGCTCCCTTCAAGAGGGGGTTATTCAGGGGCCGGCCTGGTGGTGCAAGCGGTTAGGGCTGCGCGCTCCGCTGCAGCGGTCCAGGGTTCACAGGTTCGGATCCCGGGCGCGCACAGACGCACTGCTTCGCAAGCCATGCTGTGGCGGCGTCCCATATAAAGTGGAGGAAGATGGGCATGGATGTTAGCCCAGGGCCAGTCTTCCTCAGCAAAAAAAGAGGAGGATTGGCAGATGTTAGCACAGGGCGGATCTCCTCACCAAAAAAAAAAAAAAAAAAGAAAAGAGGGGGTTATTCGTCTCTAACATATTTCAGCCTGTTGCTCAGTAAAGTCAAGAGACCAGAGAGAGTTGGCTTCCAGCCTCCTCCTTTCCCTCCCCAGTCTTTGCTTCCTTGTGATCCAGGCTGTGGCTCATTCCAACATGCTCCTGCTTCAGACACTCTTCCCTAATCATTTCAGTCCACACGCCCTTTTCTGGGCACCACAGAGCAAGCCTCATACAGACCAGCCCTGAATGATTCTGTCATTGTTATTTCCCGTGATGTATCAGTTAGCTATAGCCACAATGATGCTGCAAAACCCACAAAATCACAAACAACCGCAGAAGCTCAGGGGCATACGCCAATAAGCATTTATTTCTTATGTGTCTGAGGGTTGGCTGGGGCGGCTCTGATCTCGGCTGCACTTGCTCATGTGTCTGTGGGCTCCACTGACGTGGGCTGAGGCTCTGCTTCAAACGATGAGTCCAGCTGAGCTTGGCTTCCTGTGCAGGTTGGGTCCAGGTCTTCTCCCCATTGTACTCATGCTGAGGCTGAAAGGCACCATCTTCCCGTGGTGACCGCAGAAGTATGACACAGTGAGAAGAAACACATGGCGTGTCTTAAGGCTGAGGCTCAGAACTGGCGCAGTCAGTTCCGCCCACGTTCCATTGGCCAGAGTGAGCCACATGATCAAGGCCAAAGTCAAGAGGTGGAGAAGTACACCTTTGCCTGTAAAATCACAAGGCAAAGGATGGGGATACCGGCAGGGGTCAAGAATTAGTGACAGTAATCAACCTGCCAAATATGGGGTGGGTTCTTTGTCCTTCAGGCATCTCTGTTGGACCGAATACTCCTGGGCCTGATCTTAGAGCAAGTCATCAATTGTGGTGACAGAAGCAGCTATATTTACCAAGCCCGCCCCTGCATACACGTGTACACATACACACACGCCGATGATAAATGTATGTGTGGCAGGCATTCTGAAATTGACCTACTGCCTGCGTAGATATCCTCAGTCATCCCAGCTATTTTTTCTGCTGTGCCCCTATAAAAACACAGAATCTTTCTTTAAAAACTCCAGGCAGTCACTACCGATAGATTACAGACAGTCCAGGAAGTGAAACCTGGTTACTGTCTCTGGCGTATGATGCACCCGACACTTGTGGTGTATATTTTATTTAAATCTCGCAAGAACCCTGCGAGAACGGCATTAGTAACCCCTTTATAGGCAAGCAAACTGAAGCTCAGAGAGGGTGAGCTACCTAAGGTCACACAGGAGGAAGGCGGCGAGGGGGGACTTCAAATCCCCTCCGTCTGGCTCTACTTGTGGTCCCACCTGCTGCTCCTCTGCCTCTTCTCCCACCAGGCAAGGGCGGCTTCACTGTGGAGCTGACCCCACGCGCCAGAGGCCCCACGGGCAGTCTGTCACCTCCATCGGAGCCGTGCGTCCCTGATCGTGGCCGGCAGTACCAGGGTCGCCTGGCGGTGACCACACATGGGACCCCCTGTCTGGCCTGGGCCAGCAAGCAGGCCAAGGCCCTGAGCAAGCACGAGGACTTCAGCCCCATGGTGCCACTGGAGGAGAACTTCTGCCGCAACCCAGACGGGGATGAGGAGGGCGCATGGTGTTACGTGGCCGACCAGCCTGGTGACTTCGAGTACTGCCACCTCAACTACTGCGGTGAGAGGGCAGGGCAGGGGGCCTGAGACAGAGGACAGGGCCTGGAGGGACTGACAGAACAGTGCCTTCCCTGGTCTAAGGCTTACACACGCACACATCAACACATTCGTCACAGTGTCACGGTAACCGGGTGGGGGCAGTCCTAGCCCCATCTTACAGCTGAGTAAACTGGGGCCCGGGAGGCTAAGTTCCCTGGTAACCCAGGTGCACTTGGCATCTTAACCTCTGCAACACATGGCTTCCAAGGCCGGCTGGGCGCTTGGGGAGCTCTCGGGGGTGGGTGAGGAACCGCCCAGCCCAGCCGCAACCGGTGCCTGGGTCCCTGCAGAGGAGTTGGTGGACGAGGAGGCGGGAGACCAGCTGGGCGAGGACCCGGACAGGCCTATCGAGGGACGCACCACCGACCAGGACTTCCAGCCCTTCTTTGATGAGAAGACCTTCGGCTCTGGGGAGGCAGGTGAGGCGGCGGGCAGGTGGGCGCGGGGCCTCAGGTTAGGGGTCTGCGCTCGGCCCCTCACGGTCTGGCTTGCTCTGCAGACTGTGGGCTGCGGCCTCTGTTCGAGAAGAGGTCGGTGCAGGACAAGACGGAAAAGGAGCTTCTCGATTCCTACATCCATGGGCGCATCGTGGAGGGCCGTGACGCCGAGATTGGCCTTGCACCCTGGTGGGTCTCAACCTGGTGCTACATTCACTGGCTGGGGGGCCTGCTGCCCACCCCCGCCCCGAGCCCTGGAGAATTCTCTGACCTCACAGGCCTAGCTTCACAGCCACAATAGCGGAGCACCAACATCTCATCAAATCCTCCCAGCAGTCTTGAGATTGGGTTTCTTACTTCTCATATGCAGATGGCAAAGCTGAGGCTCAGAGAGGTTAAGTAACTTGCCTAAGTGGTGGCTTGCACAGCAGGACTTGAATCCAGTTCTGACCCCAGGGCTGTGCTAAGCTGTGTGAACTCTGGACTGGAAGAAGCTGGGGAGGGGTGCAAAAAGCAGGAGGCAGCCCCTCGGTGTCGTGTGTGTCTCAGTCCCCAAAGGCGGCCAGGTCAAGCTGGGGTCTGGGCCCAGCAGGCAGCTCTGCCCAGTTAGTTCTTAAACGTAAGGACTTTCTACTTCTAGGGCCGGTGGAGGGGCAGCCCCCCAGCTCCTAATGCTTCCCACTCTCCCTCCCAGGCAGGTGATGATTTTCCGGAAGAGTCCTCAGGAGCTGCTGTGCGGGGCCAGCCTTATCAGTGACCGCTGGGTCCTCACCGCTGCCCACTGTCTCCTGTACCCGCCTTGGGACAAGAACTTCACTGAGAGCGACCTTCTGGTGCGCATTGGCAAGCACTCCCGCACCAGGTACAGAACTGGGGGCCCCTGGGTGTCTGGCAGGGGTCTGAGTGCTCCAGAGGGACCATGAGGGGCTCTGGTTGCTCTGGGGCATGTGGGAGATGTCTGTAGCAAACCCAGCAGTCTCTGCTGAAAAGTCCATTTGACCACATCCTGATCAAGGCTTGGAGCTGGGGACAGAGAAATTAAGACTTTGCAGAGAGCAAAATCCTGGGAGCAGGGCACAGCCCAGGTGTGACTCTGAGTAGAGGCTGTTTGGATTAGGGCCCACAGCCTGCGTCCCTCCCCTACCTGCCTGGGCTTGTGATTCCAAAGCCCCGTGCAACCTGAGGCTGGGAAGAAGCTGTAAGGGGTCTGCCAAGGCAGGAGCCAGACCTCCCCCCTCGCTGGTGGCCCGCAGCTCCGTCTGACTCCCAGACCCTGAGGGCAGGCAGGTTCCTTCCTCAGGGAACTGGCTGCCCCGCACTGGGTGGCCTACAGCTTCTCTGTTTCTCTGTTGGGGTCTGCGCAGGTATGAGCGAAGTGTTGAAAAGATCTCCATGCTGGAGAAGATATACATCCACCCCAGGTACAACTGGAAGGAGAACCTGGACCGGGACATCGCCCTGCTGAGGCTCAGGAAGCCCATCACCTTCAGTGACTACATCCAGCCTGTGTGCCTGCCCGACAAGGAGACGGCAGCCAGGTCGGGGGCCCGGGAGCCCTGGGCTGAGTTCTGGGCCTGACAGACACTGTGTAGCCTTGCGGACATTCCTTCCCTTTCCAGGCCTCAGTGTCTCAGAGTAAACCCAAAAGTTCTCTCTGCTCTGGGGTTCTAGATTCAGTCTCTAACGGATGGCGTGGGCGCCGGGAGGCTCCTGGAGGGCTCAGTTCTCACTGGGTCCTTCTTCCTTCCCTGAAGTTTGCTACAGTCTGGACACAAAGGCCGGGTGACGGGCTGGGGCAACCTCAAGGAGACGTGGACGGGCAGCGTCGCCGAGGTGCAGCCCAGCGTCCTGCAGGTGGTAAACTTGCCCATCGTGGAGCGGCCAGTCTGCAAGGCCTCCACCCGCATCCCCATCACTGACAACATGTTCTGTGCTGGCAAGTGCCCCGGGCAGGGCTCAGGGATGGGGGACGGAGACGTGCTAAGAGCGCAGAGCTGTTCAAGTCCTGTCCAGTCACTTACGAGCCATATGGCTTTGGGCAAAGTCGCTTACCCTCTTGGAGGCTGTTTCTTCCTCTGTGAAGTGGAGATAGAAGCCTCTATCCCATAAGGTTGTGTGAGGATTAAAGGAGATGGTGTACATAAAGTGTTAGGCGTGGTGCTAGTCACGGGTTAAGTTGTGGGCATATGTGAGCCCAGACGGCAGCTTCTCCTCCCTGGGTGGAGAAGAAGCCATTCAGTCATTTAGTCATTCAGCAAATGTTTATTGAGTGTCTACTGGGATCCAGGCAGTATTCTAGGGTGTATGACAAGGACCAAAACAGACAATGCCTGTGTCCTCAGAGAGCTTCCTTCCTAGAAGGAGGGAGTGTCGGTAAACAGATCTAAAATAGCCATCACTGCTAGGGAGGAAAATGAAGCAGACTAAAGGAGAGACAGATGGGGCCAGGGGTGACCTTCTTCTTCTTTTTTTTTTTTTTGAGTTCCTTTATTTATTTATTTATTTTTATTGCGGTAACATTGGTTTATAACATTATATAAATTTCAGGTGTACATCATTATATTTCAATTTCTGTATAGATTACATCATGTTCACCACCCAAATACTCATTACAGCCCATCACCACACACATGTGCCTAATCATCCCTTTCCCCCTCCGCCCCCCCCCCCACTTCCCCTCTGGTAACCACCAATCCAATCTCTGTCTCTATGTGATTGTTTTTTGTTGTTTTTATCTTCTACTTATGAGTGAGATCATATGGTATTTGACTTTCTCCCTCTGACTTATTTTACTTAGCATAAGGTCCATCCATGTTGTCACAAATGGCTGGATTTCATTGTTTCTTATGGCTGAGTAGTATTCCATTGTGTATATATACCACATCTTCTTTATCCATTCGTCCCTTGATGGGCACCTACGTTGCTTCCATGTCTTGGCTGTTGTGAATAACGCTGCAGTGAACACAGGGGTGCATGTATCTTTACACATTTGTGTTTTCATGTTCTTTGGATAAATACCCAGCAGTGGAATAGCTGGACTGTATGGTAGTTCTATTCTTAATTTTTTTTAAATAATTTTTTGTGTGTATGTGAGGAAGATTAGCCCTGAGCTAACATCTACTGCCAATCCTCCTCTTTTTGCTGAGGAAGATTGGCCCTAGGCTAACATCTGTGCCTATCTTCCTCTACTTTATATGGGACGCCACCACAGCATGGCTTGATAAGCGGTGTGTCAGTGCCTGCCCGGGATCCGAACCTGCAAACCTCGGGCCACCAAAGCAGAGCGAGCGCACTTAACCACTATGCCACCAGGCCAGCCCCCTATTCTTAATTTTTTGAGGAATCTCCATACTGTTTTCCATAGTGACTGCACCAGTTTGCACTCCCACCAACAGTGTATGAGAGTTCCCTTCTCTCCACATCCTCTCCAACGCTTGTTATTTCCTGTCTTGTTAACTATAGCCATTCTGACGGCGTGAGGTGATATCTCATTGTAGTTTTGATTTGCATTTCCCTGATAGTTAATGATGTTGAACATCTTTTCATGTGTCTGTTGGCCATCTGTATATTTTCTTTGGAGAAATGTCTGTTCAGGTCTTTTGCCCATTTTTTAATTGGGTTGTTAGTTTTTTTGTTGTTGAGATGTATGAGTTCTTTATATATTTTGGATATTAACCCCTTATCAGATGTATGGTTTGTAAATATCTTCTCCCAGTTGTTAGGTTGTCTTTTTGTTTTGTTGATGGTTTCCTTTGCTTGTGCAGAAGGCTTTTTAGTTTGATGTAGTCCCATTTGTTTATTTTTTCCATTGTTTCCCGTTCCTGGTCAGACATGGTATTTGAAAATATGTTGCTAAGACCGATGTCAAAGAGCGTACTGCCTATGTTTTCTTCTAAAAGTTTCAGGGTTTCAGGTCTTACATTCAAGTCTTGAATCCACTTTGAATTACCTTTTGTGTATGGTGTAAGATAACAGTCTAGTTTCACTCTTTTGCATGTGGCTGTCCAGTTTTCCAGGGGTGACCTTCTAAATAGAGTGGCTGGAGAAGGCCTCTCTGATAAGGTGATGTTTGAGCAGAGATTAGAAGAAGCGAAGGAGTGGGGGCCGTCCCCGTGGTGTAGTGGTTAGGTGGGCACGCTCTGCTGCTGGCGGCCCAGGTTTGGATCCTGGGTGCGCACCGATGCACCGCTTGTCAGGCCATGCTGTGGCGGCGTCCCACATAAAGTGGAGGAAGATGGGCACGGATGTTAGCTCAGGGCCAGTCTTCCTCAGCAAAAAGAGGAGGATTGGCATGGATGTTAGCTCAGGGCTGATCTTCCTCAAAAAAAAAAAAAAAAAAGAAGTGAAGGAGCGACCCACTCCAGGATCAGGGGACAGCAGGTGCAAAGGCCCTGAGGTGGGAGCCTGCTTGGCCTGTCTGAGGAAGAGCAGGGAGGCCTGTGTGGCTGGAGTGCACTCAACACAGGACTGGCAGCAGTAGATGAGGGGAGAGAGATGAGCAGGAAGAGGATGCGCACTTACTTCCCTGAGGGCCTTGAAGAATTTTGACTTTTATGGGATGAGATGGGAAGTTACTGGAGGGTTTGGGGCAGGTGAATAAATGTTCTAACAATTAAATTATTCTTTAATTTTAGTATAATTTTAGACTCACAGAAAAGTTGCAAAAATAATACAAAGAATTCCTGTATACCCTCACCCAGAGTCTGTGCCCCTCTTTGTGTGTGTGTGTGTTTTATATACAGACACCGTTTGAGAGTAAATTGTACATACGGTGCCTTTTTACCCATATACTTGAGTTTTCAAAGCAAACAAGAATGTTCTCTTACATAACTACCATGTAATTATTAAATCAAGAAATTAATAATGATATAATGCCATTATCTGATTTGTAGAGCTTATTCAAATGTTTTCCAATTGTCCTCCTTACTGATGTCTTTTTTAGCAAAAGAAAAAAAATGTTTTTCTCATCCAGGATTCAATCCAGGATCACGCGTTATACTCAGTTGTCAGTCTTTCTGTGTCTTTCATGACCTGGACGTATTTGATGAGTACAGGCCAGTTATTCTGTGGATTGGCCCTCAATTTGGGTTTGTCGGAGGTTTCTTAATGATCAGATCCGGACTAAGTGATGTTGTGTCCTTCTCAGCCTGTCTCAGCAGGCACGTGGTGTCGACTTGTCCCGTAACTGGTGAGATTAACTCTGACCTCTTGGTTAAGGTACTGTCTGCGTCTGCCAGGTTTCTCACTGTCAAGTTCTGTTTTTCAATCTGTGACTAATACATATCTTGTGAGGAGATACTTGGACACTGTCTATCCTGTTTCTCATCAAATCGTTCTCCCAGCCATGGTGGCTGCCAAATGGTGATTTTCTAATTCTGTCATTCCTTCTGTAGTTCTAAAATAGTTATTGTTTTATCGTAGGGAAGACTTTTCCTCTCTTTCATTCTATCCCTGTGGACTCATGGGTCCTTACTTTATTCTAAGGGTTATAATGTGTTAACAATCATTATTTATTTTGATAATTTGACTTGGGATAATTTGAACAATTATCCCAGGCTTGGCCAGTAAGAGTCCTTGCAACCTGGCTTCTGTGACTTTGGAGATGTCCCTGTCATTCTCTGAGTCCTTTCTTACTCTTGGCACAAGATGTTCTGGGTTCATCCTACTTTCCTTCTAGTGGAGAATGGTATTTAGAAATCGAGATCTGGATGGTAGGGGTGCACATTGCTCCTGGGGTGTCATTGCTTCTAGCTCTCTCAGTGGACAGAACTAGGATATATGTGTATTATGCAAACACCAACATCTATATCTTTTTTCCTATCTATTTATCTACCTACCTACCTACCTAGCTATCACCATGAGTTCATACTGAAACTTCCCATTGCAATCCAACAGGATGAATTTTAGTTTCTCTCTTCCCATACCTATAACTCTATTGACCATGAGAAAGCTGACTCCCATTCTCTGTAATATATTTGCTTATTTGATCAATACTAGAATACACAGTTTCAGAATCACTCATCTATAGCTGTGAAAAACAGTCCTACTAACTGGAGTTCAGCATTTCTGCACAGTTGTTTCTGTCTGTAGCCTGAGGATATAGAGTCAAAATACTGTGTTCACAAGTAATTTGGGTTAGTTCTTTTCTGTGTTATTCTCTGTGTTATTTATTTAAAATACTGTTAGGCTCATTTGTTTCTGATTGTATTCAATTTTGGGCCCCCTTTGCCATCTTTGTTGTTTTTATTTATTTTTTATTTTTTTTTTCTTTCATTTTTTGATGCCCTTTTGTGTGTGAGGAAGATTGGCCCTGAGCTAACACCTGTGCGAGTCTTCCTCTATTTTTTGTATGTGGGACGCCTCCACAGCATGGCTTTGACGAGCAGTGTGTAGGTCCACGCCCAGGATCCGAACCTGCAAACCCTGGGCCGCCAAAGCGGAGTGCACGAACTTAACCACTATGCCACCGGGCCAGCCCCTATTTTTAGTTAATTTTTTTATTGAGGTAACATTGGATTATTACATTATATAAATTTCAGGCGCACATCATTATATTTCAACTTCTGTGTAGACTACGTCATGTTCACCACTCAAGATCTAGTTGCCATAAGTCACTGTACACATGTGCCCCTTTACCCCTTTCACCTTCTCCTTCCCCCCTTCACCTCTGATAACCACCAGTCTGTTCTCTGTATCTGTGTGTGTTTGTTTATCTTCCACATACGAGTGAAATCATACGGTATTTGGCTTTCTCCGTCTGACTTATTTTGCTCAGCCTCAGCATCCATCACGTTGTCACAAATGGCATGATTTCTTTTTTTTTTTTTTGGCTAAGTAGTATTCCATTATACATATATACCACATATTTGTTTATTCTGGAGAATTAACATGGTTCTAAAAGTCACACCCTTTAAAACAGGTCCACTCAGAGAAGAG